GGTTCGATATAAAATAAATGGGTAGGAAAAACTTCATAAAAGAACTAATTCTTAGCGTGGAATTAAATTACATCTATTGTATAAGTACACTTTCTACAGTGGTAACCGTGTCTCAATAATGGCCATCAGGTAGTCAGTTTATATTCTATACTTGTACTTTTACATTTAAAAGATTACAGAAATGCATACTTTCACGTTCTATACTATCTTTAAACGAGACCTTTCAACTTTGATACATACATCATGAATAAATTCTCATTTAACGTAGAAAATAGGTTTTAAGTATGAAAAATATCTCTAAATACGAACATTATTTTTAAGGGTAATTGATTTGACATCATAATTTTTACCGATATAGTGACGATTAAAAATGAGTAACTTAATAAAAATATCGTCAATAAACACCGTCTGACGAACTATTGAAGTAGATCTGGTAAACAATCATATATAGTTACTTTACGATTTCTGTCTTAATCTTGACAAAGCAGATTAATATTTAGAAAAATAAATTAAGATATGGTACATACATTTCTGTATGAAAAGAGAGCATTTTTTGTTGACGTATATGCCTTAATTTTCAATTAATTGATCGATATTATTATCCACTCACCAGCATGACATGACCTAAGCTAATTGATCAATTATTATACAATAGCCATCAATGGATTTAAAATGTACAAATGCTACATTTTATTCACGAAAAATTTTCAATTAGTTAAACACTGATTTGAAGACATTATCCATATTCTAAGACGTATCGAATCGAGAAGTTGATGTACAAATGCTGTTCAAACAATTACGAAGTATGCTCAATACATCTGTAATCAAAGAGATGTATAAAAAATATTCTAAACTATTTAAGATATCGTAGAAATACAGTCACTACTGATGCGCAAGATAGAAGATACTGTCCTTCTAAATATTTCATAGCATCACTTTGATCAATTTATACATGACGGTTATAACCATAAATATCTAAACTATAGGATGTTCTTGTTATAAAAATACTGTAACTACTGGTACATAACATAGCTTTAAGGTCTATTATGAATTGGTAATGTTTGTTCTACTACAGTAATCTATTTCTACAGTGCCGTCAGGATAGTAATAGTCTCGAGCATAAGGTAAGAAAGTAGCTTTATTTTACTGCACGGACAGGAATAAAGGCCGAAATTGTATACCAGTATATAGGCGTAATTGGCAGTGTAATGGAAATATAAGTGACATTTTAAATGTCTCATAGTATCACTTAGTAGATTTTTAACTTGACGGTAATATCTATAAGTATCTAAATTATGGAATCTTTTTTAAATAATAATAAGCAGCATCGATAAAGAATTATTTTTAGAATCCCACTAAATATTATACTAAATGTTCATTCAATGAACTAGGCGAATACTGTCGTTTGTACCTGTGATGGAGGGTTCAAAGAGTCTGCAGACATGGACTCCTTAGGTATTTCACAATAATGATACAAGGGCTTATTAGAAAAACAGATATTTATTGTAGAGAATAACTAGGTACAGTGTGATAGTTACTGGTAGATCAGTGTATAAGCTGTCGTGAAGTAACTCGTGCAAATACTAACACTAACAAGTGCAACTGAACAAATCTGAGGCAAAATCTTCAGCATTCATAGTTTTAGAAAGAGAACACATACTGAGGGCAGGATTGTAGAATTAAATACATCATATGCCATAAACAGGCTATATAATAGTAATTGCAGGAAATAGCAGAGATTAAAGTATTAATATAGCAATTTTCGAGATTTTTCATTACTATAAAATATAGAAATAGTATCGGTAATGCTATTCAGTAAGTATAAGATTCAATTATTGTAAATCAAAATCATACAATTTCATTTGGTAACTTTAAACTATTCGAGATCTGTTGAATACATAGATCAAAATCTATAGAATATTCACACATTAATTCTGTTGTAACTTAGAGCTTACTCTTGCCTTCACAATCTATTAAACTATCTTAAATTCTTGAAATAGAACAGGACAGTATTCGTGAAAATATCTTTGACAATTTTGTTGGTAATGGTGCGTGTATTTTATTGCAGTAGCAATTTCAGTATTGCCATCTTCCATTTTAAATCTATAATATTATACGAATACAGAAAGAAAATATCCGCAAAGCCCTCTTAACAATTTCATTAGATATCAAACAAAGTTATTAAATTTGGTATGACCATCTTAGTAATGCTGTTTGAAATATTTATCCTATTGGATATTTCTTTAGAATAATAGGAAGCCACGTTTATAAATCAGCCTTTATAATCTCATTAACTATTATGAAAATTTTTTATTTCATAGTGATAATATTCTACTATCGTATCTCAGACTTGTAAATATCTGATTCTTTGCAATACAGAAAATGATATCCATATAATGTCTTTGATAAACTATATAGAAATTTACTCGAACCACGTATAAAAATTTTCAGTCTTTGCTGTATTTCAAATATAGCAGTGTCCACAAAATTTCTTTCACGATCTCATTAAGAAACAATACGGAATCTATTTTAGAAACATAGCTCTTGCAATTGCCGTCCAAAGTTTAAAAATTCCATAACAATTTAAATACAGTAATATCGACTAAATACACTAGTTGCCATTGCCGTATTTTGTATTGCGCAGGACAGAGTTTTAATTTCATAACGGAAATTCTTGTATGCTTTTGCCAATTTTGTAGCTATTACATTGTATGTAAAAATATGATGAAAGATTACACTGTAGATAAAAATGCCTCTTTGTAATCTAGTGGCATATTTTGCTGACAGTTTCGTCGCTACAGAACGATTAAAATACGATTGGAACTATTTATTAATCTATATTTCATAAAGTAATTTGGAAATCATTATAACTTAATTTTTATTTTAAAAATAAGTATCGAGTTGGTCTGCAACGATTTAATAAAATGTCATTCGTTGAACTCATAACTTAAATCAAATTGATAATAAATAATTCTATCTAGTATCTAATTAAATTGTAACTTAGTAGCGTACAATTTAAGCGTATTGTACATATTTATTGATCTTACGAGTGCGGTAGTCCTTATTTCAAGGCAAATATGTTGTTTTTCGCATTAGTTGTTGCCGACTAAGTGCAATAGAAGAAAATAGCAAACTTTAAAAAATAATCTGTACTGATTTTATGGTTAATTTCGACTTTGATTTTAGGAGTATTGACAATACGCATTTCGATTTGGACGACCAGACCTTGCCATCTAAAGTATTTAGACAATTTCATAATCTGGTTTCACTGTAAGGAATTTAATTTTATAACTAAGCCTTCAAATTGATAAAATCATTTAGTCTGTGCGCTATCTAATGCGGTGATAAATAGAATTTTTATGACCAGATCTTTTATTTCCATTCTTAGCGAATTAATCCTTGAAAACCTTCGTACCATAAATAAAACTTCATTTTACGGTTTAAATAACCTTCAAGAACTGTAAGACAATTAAGCATTAATTCTGTATATTGTAAAAGCTATTTCAGTATTGCATATAGAGATCAATCTTGTTACTTGGCTATTCTAACAGACTTTACTAGTATGACCCTTTTTATTTAAATTTGAATCTGTAGTTAATCGATGGATATCAATGGAGTAAATTTCTCTTACTACCCCTTTTCTATCTCTTTTTTACTAACCAGAGCTATAATAGGATGTCATAAGCTATCTAAATTTCCGACATTATTGATGCTTTCTAAACTTGAAAAAGTGTAAGTGTGATAATACAGTACGATCCTTTCTGTTAACTGCCGTTGCAATCACTTAATATGCAGAGTAAATTAAGAATCCTCATAGGAACAATTGAAAACTTTATTATATAAATCTTCCGAGCACGGAACTCTATTAAATATTTCTGGTTCCTCCTGAATACCTCCAAGATAAAGTAACTCTATACAGAGACCTAAAAAATCAGTGCGATTCCAAATAATTTTGCATGCATTCTGAGTGATGTAGAAACTAAATCTGAGGTTATCTCCCTTTAATTTGAGTAAAGTACTATTTTATCCTGTTATATAGACCCATATTAAAAAATCATCACGCAAAATGATTTATAAGAAATTGCTAACTCCAATTTAAGTTTAAATCTCGCATAGCCACCTAAGATGAAATGGCTAGTAGCTGTCTGTAGAAGAATTCTGTGGCTAATATAGTTCTTGCGATTTTCGAATCACATAAATCAGTTATTTTGATGAATACTTTATTATATAGGACTAATAGTTTCGTTATCAAGTTTTTTAACTCTAGCTATAAAGATCCTCTAAACTAATTAATGGTTCTAAGTACTGCATGATATTAAGCATCATATGGCAGCATATAAGGAATCATGCGATGCCATAAAATGTCGCTTGTAAAGTTTGAACTATGTTATATCATTTGCCAAAACTAGCACCTTCTTCATGCCATCTATTTAAGCATACAGTAGTAAAGTTAATTCTCCAAATTTATAATCAACCCGATTTACAAGATCTACAAAGCCGAATTAAGCTTTATGACAATGAAATTTAATTCAAGTTATAACAGTATCTACCACGTATTACTCCCTATTTACCCGATACAATCATTTCTAAACTCTAGTACATGGCTTGCTAATTAAGTAGCGGCTGTAGTCTTATGATACTAAAATAATAATTTAATCTCACTGCTAAATTTATAACGCTGTACTTGCTATTTCTAGTATTACCATTGCAAAGTAGGTAGTACTGTTGTACTAATCTCTTCGCCCGATATCAATATCATATCAAGAATTTTTTCTGTCATCACAATAAAGTTTAGATTCTTCAATCATATTTCGAACTATTTTGCTTGCAATTATTTCCAATTATGATAATATAATATCATTTACATGTTGATTATATTTATTTTTGGTTTAAATAAAATTCTAGAATTATCCGAGGAAGTAAAATAGCGACTATACCTGAAAATTCGTTTCATAATTTATTAAAGATCAACAATATGTAAGATCCTATTGTAAAAATTCATACTATAGTACATCTTTTCCTACGTTAAAAATTGAATTCTTATAGATATTCTATCATGTTTACTCTTTTAACCATTTATTAGTCAATTGGACAGCAATAAAATCAGCAAAATCCAGGAATTTGTTTTTAATAACACCGGAGGGGCTTACGGGATAACTATGTAAGTTGGACCATGCTAATTTCAGCAATTATGATAAAAAAATGAACGCTAAGAACAATCTTTCCATAACAATTTACAGCAATTTAGCGAATAATCCTCTAAAAGAGATGCATGCTAAAGCCTTTGAGCATTTAAATCCATCATCGATTGGATTGATATCGTTGTAAGATTATAATAAATGTCTAAACCTTGTTTTAATAAATTCGACGTTTTCAATTATATAATATAATAACACCATAAGCACTTCTATACTAATATAAATAGAACTCTTTATATCCTTTTACAGAGACATTACCAAAACTGATTTGGAATATTTACCGGTACCTAATAATCCAAAAGACTTTTCAAAAAATGGACTCAAAAGTCTTCGCCAACTCCGTGCAAAGGCTGAAGCATTCAAGCGATTACCTTTACCTCAGCAGATTCCTCAAGTTCAAAAAATTCAAGTTCATTATCCCTATTTATGTTGTATATTCCATCGCCATCAAACCGAAGAACGCTTAAAGCAATTCCAAAGTAGCAATCTACGGCCGCAACCTAGAAAGGAGAATCCAACAACAAAAGTCGACGCAATGCAAGCAATAAGATCACCTGTCAATAATAATGATGAAGATTATGATGAAAGAGGATACCATGATGATGACGAAGTAAGCGATTATAAATCAAAAAACCATGTCCTATCGAAACGTAGGGCACAATCTACAGCAAGTCAAGCTGCAACATTTGGAGAATTTCTATTTCCAACACTTTTTACGCCTACAAAAGGCGATACTGGCATTATTAATCAAGGTGGCGGAGGATTTTCTGGCAATAAAACAACGGTCGATGGCAACATTACCGATCTTCATCAATGGAATACAAATTCTAGCCATTTCAATTGTACACCAGATCAAGCGGATTGCCTTGATGGTTATGGTGGGTTAAAATTAGTTCAATGCTTGCCTCAACCCAATGAATTAACGCCATGTGAAGATATGTTGGGCGATTGGTACCTTAAAATATCAGAATGGATCATGTGTTTTATATCCCTTTTAGCCAATACTTTAGTCTTGATGGTGATACTCAATGCAGAAGGCCATCTAACAGTTACTAAATTTCTAATTTGCAATTTAGCTTTTGCAGATTTTTGCATGGGGATCTATTTAGCTTTGATGGCTATCACTGATCTAACAACAGCAAATCAATATGCTAATTATGCCATCAATTGGCAAACTGGTGGTGGTTGTGCTACTGCTGGATTTATTGCTATTTTCTCGGCAGAATTATCTACGATGACATTAACGGTTATTACTATCGAGCGCTATTTAGCCATCGTCCATGCAATGTATTATGAGAAGCAGTTAAAACTATTTGGTGCATGTATTGCAATGTCAATTTGTTGGATTTTATCGATTGTACTGGCACTATTACCAATTGTTGGAGTGAATAGTTATTCATTAATATGTATCTGCTTACCAGCTGATTTTACAAGTTCCATGTCGGTAGGTTATATTCTGATATTAGTCGGCATTAACGCATTAGCTTTCATCTTGATTGTCTATAGCTATTGTGTCATGTACTATACAGTACATTCAACGCATAGCAGTGGAGGGAATAGGGCAACACAGGAAGCGGATCGTCGTATTGCCAGACGAATGGCATTATTAATCTTTACTAATTTTGCATGTTGGACGCCTATCGCTTTTTTTGGCTTTGGTGCAGCCTTAAAATTGAATTTAATTACAGTTTCTAGTGCCAAGTTTCTATTAGTATTTATTTTTCCCATTAATGCCACCGCTAATCCATTCCTCTACTCTATCTTTAATCAATTATTTCGTAAAGACTTACATCATGTCATTGCTAAATGGAATTTGAACTGTTCTTATCGCCGTCGTCGATTATCCAGCGCTACCAACGCTAATCTTTCCCATAATACTGGTATGAAAAGTCGATCAACGCGTGCCTCCTCATTAATAGTGGATAGTCGAAAGCGAAATAGCAGCGTAGGAGGAGATAGATTATCAGTTAGTGTATTCGGCGGACTAACAAGGATACTTAAATTATCCAATTCACCCGCGGATAATGCTAACTTAGCCGGAAGCAATTCCAGTATTGGTCATCAACCTCGATGTAGTATGGTATCTACTGAAGATCGAGCTGGTGAAGTATTATCGGCAGAAATAATCCGTGAACAACAGATTGATCGCAGCTATCGTAAAATCAAGCCAGCAAAAAGATATAGCCAGGCGTTAAAGTGTGACTTGTCAGATATTAAAGAAATGTCTTATATTGATGACTGTCAAGTTTCCAAAAATGCGCAGCTACATAAATCATCTCAATTATTGAGACGTGACTGCATAGAAACTGTAGTTTAAATTTTTTCTCTTCCCCAACTCAAAAGTACAGTACCGTATTTATTTGTTCATCAGATTTAATTGGTTCCAAGTTAGAGACGTACGTATTAAATGCGTAGCTCAAATGATCATTTCTCCTTTTGATTTTGTCTTGAAATATATATTCATCTAAGAGTTCTAGTGAAGATATGCAAATTATAAAATCAACCTTCTTCTTTCAGGATATCATATGGAATTTTGCTATATAACAGTTATGAAAATTTAGTTCAATCTCATGACTAAAACATGTAATGAGTACAAAAAAATCGATAGCATACATCAAACTTGCCTACTTGTATTTCCCTGGAAAAGGTGGCTATACTGTAGCTATTTCTGTCATACGATTACAGGTTGGCAGCTGATGTATGTGGGAAATCTTTTCTTCGTTCTTACGATAAAGGACTGTCATGAAAGCATATTTAATAATCCGATGTGTTCTATAGTAAGCAAGCATCATTTTTAGATATTGATATCCCTTTTAAAGGAGGAGTACCTTAAAACAGGATTACGTTTCTGGCGACGAACTCGCTATTAAATATCCTGTAAATTGTAATCTGTGCCTTGTAACTGATTTATATATAATAACGGCAATTATTTTACGAAAAATCATGTAATTTTAAATTCTTAACAATATCGATCATCACACTAGCACATATACTCCTGATATAGGGCGCGAATATATAAAATCTTATTCCCTTATGTTAAATTATCGATTAAAATATACGCATTGCTAGCAAAATTAATATTAGGATTAATGACTAAAACAGATCAAATTCTGTAAAAATTGCGAATATAAATTTAGAATAAAGACATTTACCCATGTAAGATATCTTCATAAGGTGTACAGTTATATAATTTGAATCGTATTATACAAATGTATTAAAGTTGAACTTTATCTTTACCAGTATGCAATAGCTTTCAAAAATATCTGGTATAGTAAGATATTCATCTGCCCAAGTTACCTTTATAAAGTAGTCAGTTATATAGTTTGGATCCTAATATATAAATGTACTAAAGTTGAACTCTTTGTTTATAGAATAGCTTTTGGAATATCTGGTATACTCCAAGTTGCTAAAGCTTTTGGACTTTAATTAATTTCAATTTTAAAAAATTAAGATAGAAATGAGTCATTGAATAAGTAATGCCAATTCTGCAAGTGTTCTATTGTGGATCGTGCTCCGCCAGTTGTTGAAATTGAAAGTGCGGTAACTGATCATCGCTGCTAATGGTATTAATTTAATATCTACTGGATTAGAACTTCTAGTATTACGCAGCACAGATAGAAATAAGTCATTGACCGATAATGCTAATTTCTGTAAGAATTTTATGATTGATTATGCTCTATCAACTGTTAAAATTTAGAGTTACTAATGATATTAATTTAATACCTACAGGATTAGAAATTCAAGTATTCATGCAGCGTATATAGGAACGAGTCATTGACAAAATAATGTTAACTACTGCAAATGTTGTATTATCGATTACACTCTGTCAACTGTTAAAATTTAAGGCGCGATAATTGATGATCGTTATTGATCGTGTCAATTTAATATCAACTGGATTAGGATAGGAATTCAAGCATTCGTGCAGTTGTAATTTCTTTATCATCACTGCATGCCTCTTCTGAATAACATCGCGCTATTCCTGCTGATAGTTTACAATACAGAATGAGATTATTTTACTTCTATCAAAGTACAACTATCCTACACCACTGGTGACAAAGTAAAACTACATACTACTTCTTGACAACCAAGATTATAGTCTTGACAATTCAATAGTAATTGATAAACTAGTTGACTAACTAATTAAAAAGCGGTCCCCAGGTACCAGCCTTTTATAGTCTCGTCAGAAGCTCCTGGTGCAAATAAAGTAAAACTATCCTTCTAAAGTTATATGGATAAAATTGTCATTGACAGAGGCGAAGAATTTAACCAATTGATTTGCAGTTCCTTTATTAATAGGTCCTAATCTTCCAAAGTATAGTATAACGGTTATATCCTATCCATGTGCGAACATTTGCTTTGTCCTTATAACATCAAGTAATTTGACTGATGAACTTACAAATTCTGTATCAAATTGATCCCAAATTTTGAATGATTGCTGTAATAATGATTAGCATTTATTTGTATTCTATTAGCATACTGTATTTGGAAGGACTACAAAAGTTAACAAATCTATCCGCGATTTTCTTTATCCTATCGGCCTTTTCTCCAATAATAAGACTTTTTTGATAAATTTATGTTATTATAGAATCTAATCATATAATAGATCCATCTTAATAGCAGTTTATCACATCAATAAATATATATTTTGTCATTAATTTTATTGCAGTAGGCGAGAATGTTTCTATTTTATCTCAAATTCTGTGATATCGAAGTAACATCGATCAAAGTACGTTATCAAGTTAAATTAATTTCCAAAATCCTAAGCTAGTCAGGTCTTAAAATTAATGGCAACCTGTTTGTCCGTAAGCTTCAAAACCAATTTAGAGGAATTACTATTGATAGTATTACTACGACAAATTCTTATTTTCAATTTAAATTCTTTCGCTTTGCCTCAGACTCTAGAGAGTAATAACACTAGATAATAATTTCAATCCATGTGAAATTTTTTAAATCTTGTGAAGTGTTTGCATTAAATTACAAGATATAGTTTCAATCAATCTTAAGAATAATTTCCTATAAATGAATAGAGTTAAATCTGGTAGATAATTATTTTATCGAAGTGGATATTAAAGGCACAAGCAAGTAATATCACGATATTGGTTTAATTGACTTGAAAGAATAATTTTCTATAAATAAAATTGTTAATTTTGATAGACAAGTGTTTCCTGAAGTGGATATTGACGAAACAAACAAGTAGTATTAGCGAGTGAATAGGATTATTCCATCAAAAGGGTTTCTTTATCGCATCTTGCCTTTCGAAGGATGTCATAAATTTTATCCTTAACAACTTGCAGTAACCTTTTGTTTTTGAATGTGTGCATTTCCGCCGCTACATATTGGCCGAATGAGTCAATATGGTCCATTTGAATTACTTTTGGAAGGTAATATTGTATGTTTGCGTCTTTTACGTTAGGAAATGATTGGCAAGCTTCCTGTTGATCATCAACATTTGTAGTAGGTAAGGATAGTCTTTTCCTCTTCATAGTTACTCCACATGGCTTTTCGAGTCCGTTTACTATGCCAATAGAATTGTCCTAATTCCAACATAATTTAAAATTTAAATTTGCAATGGTCATAAATAAACCGTAATTTAAGTTGCGCATAGTGTCCTTACATTACATGCAATGCTATGATTATTTTCTGGCCCTTCGCTAAAGGAATTATTACTTTCTTCCATGCTTTTCTACAGATTTATATGGCATAATTCATGATGATGCTCATTAATTAAACTATTTTAATTATTTGAAAATAAAATTTATCATATGCAATATTAAATATAGGGCTAAGGTAGTGGCTAGGATTTATGCTTGCTTACCAAAGTATTAATTGAACAGGATTGGACAGGAATATTGAGGGAACAATCCTCTAAGTCTTTCTACAATTTTGAATTGAATACATTGCATCATTCACATATACTACCGGAGTTCGTTAACAGTTAATTATTAATTTTCATACCTTAACACCTTTTTCCGTTTCGGTCTAAAAAATTAAATGTGTAAACTTAATGTTCTGCAAGATTACAAAATTTAGGAATAGTCTATCTTAGAGTTTTAGCATGATAAAATCGCTCTACTACTGATGGATAGAATTCAGTGTTCCAAGGCATTAGCAAATTTTGAAATAGTATACCCTATCTTACAGTTTAGCATGATAGAATCGCTCTATTGTTACTGATTGATAGAATTTGATGTCTTATACAGTTACCAAATCTTTTAACAGTATACTCTATCTTAGAATTTTAGCGTGATTACATCACGCTACTGTTCCTGATTGATATAATCAAATAAAATCTACGCGATTAACAAATCTAGTATAAGTATACTCCTGTCTTAGGCTTGTAGCACGAAAGATTCGTTCTACTGTTACTGATTGGTAGCATTTAGCGTTCTATACGATTAATTAATCTTGAAATAGTATCTCGTAATTTGTAGATTTCGAGCACTGTTAATAGGGACTACATGATAGAATCACTTTACCGCTACTGGCGGATAAAATTGAGTGTTTTACACAATTAACAAATCTTGAAATAGTACATCGTAATCTGCAGATTTAGAACCTTTGTTAACAGTAACTACAATGAGATATAATCGCTTTACTCTTACTAGCTATTAGAAATTTGTGCTATACACGATTAAATTATCCTGAAATAGTACACCAATAGATTAGGTTGATAGCATGATAAAATTGCTTTACTGTTAGTAGTTGGTAGAACGCTATGTTCTACTTGATTTACAAGTCTTGCAATGATGTGCTGCTAGGTAGGTTGTTAGGCTATGACAGAATTGACTTACTTTTACTGATTGACAGAACTCGGTAAGAAATTCCAATTCTTTATAATATTGCCAATCGGATGTTGAGGGATTGCCATCTTCGATACCATATTGATCAGCTAACAAGAGTTTTCGGCGTTCACGATAAAATTTCAGACGTAAAGTATGACATTTTCTTTCTATTTCACTTTGACTTATGTTTAGTTTAGTCCCAATATCAGCCCAAGTATGTTTTCTATTTTCTCGATCAGTGTAGGAAGGATGCTTTAAATCCCATAGATGCGGCTGCTCGCGAAAATCATGTATTAACTTCAATGTTAAATCTGGTGTCCATGCTACACAGGTGTTTAGATCAACTTCGGCCATAATATTTCAATTAGTGGCTGAAATTTCTAAAGACAAATGCACTTTAGATCACAGGCAACCATTTTAGATTGGATAGAAGAAACCTGTAAATAATCCAATTGCATCATTTTGAGGGTTTTCAGAGATTATTTAAATTTAATAATGTGTACTTATTTTCGATCTTATACGAATTGGTGGAGTTAATTAATCGATATTTTTACCCCAGTTATCGTAGTTCATTTAAGGCAGCAATTATTATCGCAAATATTATTACGTTGTATATTATTCAATCACTTTGCCGATTTAAATTTAATAACATGCATTCATTTTCAATCTTATACCGGTAGAAATTAAAAACTTAGCTAATTAATAGAGATTTCGAAACATGTTACAGCATTTAGGCAGCAACTACTGTATCCTTGCATACTATTCAATCGCTTCGCCTATTTAAATTTAATAACGTGCTTTTACTTTCAATCTCATACTGGTGGGAATGAAAAACTCAGCTAATTAATAGAAATTCTTGACACAAGTTATTAAAATTAATTTAAGGCACTAACAATTTCCTTACATACTATTCAATTACTTCGCTGATTTAAATTTAATAACATGCACCCACTTTTAATCTTATACTGGTAGGGATGAAAAAGCGTAGCTAAATTAATAAAGATTTTGGCACAAGTTATTGGAGTTTATTTAAGGAAATAGCTTTTTCCTTGTAAACTAGTACATCAGCTCAACAAGTGGAAACTTATCAAGAGAAAGAGGAACAAAATCCATTATTTACAGATTGATTTTGCACTATAAATCTGCAAAAAGTAATACCGTTATTGGATTATATATCATGAATATTTTAACTTTGGCCGGTCCCTAACTTCATCATATTTGTTAGTATGTTATTTAAATAACTTTAATTAGATTAACAAATGTTATTAAGAACAAGGTATGGTATGCTCCTATTTTTAAAAAAGTAATTATGACTAATAATTGTTCAATATAATTAAAAATTAATTCGGGGTAAACCACAATATTGAGAAGCTAAAATCCATAGGTAAGCTCAACAGCTGCCGAGATGAGCCTAGACTATAATTTGTTTACAAGCTATAATCAAGTGCTGCAGTTATGGCTTCTCGATCAAGTTATTTATGGATTCATTGCATTCCGATTTTAACTTTGATCCATCGATCTTATGGTCATCTAAACCGAAAGGACTAAAGCTGTTGCTGTAGAGTTACTCGCGCTAAGAAGTTTATCGACAACATGCTCGCATATTATTTTGAAAGTTAGTCAAAGCTTAATCTTTGGATACAGGTATAGCCTATCTTTATCATTGCTGAAAGATGATTTCGATATCTGCATAACTACAAAGGATTTTCATTAAGTAATTCTTTCTTATTTGAATCAAAGCACTGTTTAATGCGGATAAAATTGGAATTCAGCGTCGATGGAATCAGAATTACCCGTCTTTGCTATTCTATTTCTCAGGATACTAAAATGATATGTTGTTAAAGGCTTAGAAAGATCTTAAAGCCTAGTTTTATATCGAATAGAAGCAGTACAATTGACTTTCTTCTGTTATGATTTCTCCCTATTATCGAAATAGTAAATTATCTTACGCTATTAATGCTAAGTTTTCTTTAAATGGATCATTTAAGGGGAGCTAACCAACTTCTCTTCTTTTTTAAATTTTAAAGTCTGGAGAGTTTAAGGTTATATTATTAATTCGTTTCTTGTAGCTTCCTCTAATGAAGCAGTTCTATATTTCAAGCAGCAGATTTTTATTAACATTAAAATTGAATAAATATGCAAACAGCATCAGGGTAAATCAAATAAATTCTAAATAAAAATAGTATTTTTAATAAAAAATGAGACAAACATCACTCTAACTAAGTATATTAATCGAAAGTAAGTGTTAACTACTAATTAATGATGATATTAGCTTACAAGAACTATTCTCTCTCTACTCATTCTTGAATTCCATGGACAATACACACACTAAAATAGTTTAAACTGGTACATATTTTTCCAACTTGGATGATTCATTAACACTCTTGACGATCAATGCTTCAAGCCTTTCCTGCACCTAATACAAGAACATTGAAAATTTACATCCTCTCTTAAATTAGGATCACATTTTCTTTGGAAGCACTTTTATAAAATTTGAAATATTTACTTGAATGACAGCAGGTCTTTGCCTTACTATATCGGATAAACAAACTACTGCTAACTCTAATATTTTTTTCCTTGGTCGGCAGAACGTAGACTTTGTACATTGCATTTTCCACGATATTCTCTTATCCTTCAACATTTTCCAGTTTTGATTTCTGGAACTAATCAAGTAATCCTTCTACAAAATAACATTTTATTCCATTTCACTCTCTTCGCCGAAATAACTGCCGTATTATATCAAAAAACATGATGTATTTTAATTATACCAGCAATGGTGGACGTCTGCCTTTTTCAAACACTTGCAGTCCGGAAGTTATTTCTAAACAAATCTGTTGAAATGGATAAATGAACTGAGTATCAAGGAACAGAGCAATAGCTTCCACACAAGGACATGTAGCAGACCTTATAAAACAACCACTTACTGCCCCAAAGCTGTATATATCATTGGATTTACGAATTATTCCAGCTAGAGCATCCTGACAGCTATATCCTATCTTTCCAACATGGCAAGGGATAGGAAATGTACTTCTATCAAGGTTCATTTTGTGAAGATTATAATCTAGACATCCATCGCTTAATTTCGCTTTAAGCGTTTCATCCAGTAAAATATTCTTACTAATTACACAAACAACGTTAGCTGTTGGATTTCTTGTAATCCTGCAATTGTACCTTTGATCTAATCTATCTACCTGGTTAAATTATTATGGACCAATTGGCAATCATGAAGAAAAGCTAATCCATCGATAATGTTCTTCAATATTATCAATCTTTGCAGACAGCGAGGTACTGTGCTTTCCTAGAGGTAGTTTAAAGTTATCACTACATCAGCAATTTAGTTACAGAAAATTTGCATTAGTATACTGTATTAATATTGAGAGGGTTTGAAATTACCGAAGTAATTAATAACTCTCGCAACGAAAACGGTAGATATTCCAGCAATAGACCTCCAAGAGATGGATGATATGAATGCAGCATCCGTAGATTATCATGTTTTAAGCTAACGTTGGAAAGATGAAATTCAATTTACTGCTGCTATTCTAATCATTAGTCTTAACCTTCATCGATGCAAGTGTTAGAAATACCTTAGCAGATATTTAAAAGTATATCTTTTGTCCGTTAAGTATTCTTTCATCTAAAAGATATTGCATCGTAGCTTAGATATGATATCGAAGCGCTTCATTTTAAATTCTTGTAGCCATAACTAAGATAGAAGCCTAATCGAAAAAGTAACCTGCGGGTTCCATTTCTTAAATGCGTATGTGACATCGCTAATTGTTATCTGGTAAGTAGTGCTATAATATCCAGGTTTACAGGTGCCTACATCTAAAGCCTGCTGTATAGTCTGGATAAGCAATGTTCAAAACCAGAATCATCAGCACAATTTACATTAGATAAAGAAAGAGATGATTCAATATTAGCCTCAAAGAACTTGATGTTAACAGTATTATAATTACATTAAATAGTTTACCGAATCTGATAGCATGGGCATAGAATAATATGGCATTCCCGAGAATGGATATTTTCCCCCTTCCATAATGTTAATATAGACGTCATCGTGACCAGATTTATAACAGCACCATTCATCCAATTGACGTCGAAGGCATGTCTAAATGAAATATGCGGAAATATTTGTATTGTGTAATAAAAAATTATTCATTATAGCCGATGTTATCTTTCATTTTTCAGTCGTGCAAGGCTTAATTAGTTCATTATCTTACCCAACATGAAATTTTTTCTTCCTGTAAATGGAAGTTAGGAACATCCTGGTCCGTCATTATCTATCCATTAGTATATCAATGCAATAAAACTGCTGCTTCTTGAGATATTTCTTTTAATAACTGAGATTGAATATGGATGGTGCACTAGAGCACTTTATAGATTTATGAAATAATGATGAACTAAAAGGACCTGCTACTACTTGAGATATCGCTTCTAGTAACTGAGATTAAATGTGGATAGTGCACTAGAGCACTTTAAAGGTTTATGAGATAATGATAAAATTAATTTATTTTTATAAAAATAAACTTTAATAAAGGTCAATATACATAGGATACCAAAAATACTGCTTTGGGTAGCAGTAAACACTACGGCTGTAATAGACTGAATTAGTATCGGTATCGGTATGAAATCTTTGCTTCAATTTTGAATAGAACAGCGCCTAGACCTGGTGATAGTCATTTCCTCTTGGTGTTTATTTTTATTAAGGAAAATAATTATGATGTCATATTCATAAAGTATCAGTAATGAGTAATAGAATTGGAATTGTAGCTTTCTGTGCAATCTGCTACGAAGAAATGGCTTTTGCTACAGATGTGTTTAGGTTAATTAATTAATTTACAAAATTCTCAAAATTTCATTATAAATTTTGGATCGCTTTCAGCATAAAGTCATTCTAGACATGAAAGTCTAATCAGTCTGTAATCAATTCATATTGTACCACTTTTCTAGCGATACCGATGAAAAGAGGCAACGGGATAGAGCAAATAAGCTATGTAAGCAGCCTCATTAACTCTACGGCTTAAATGCACCAATTAATTTTACCGGCGATTTTTGTTTATAATTATGCGGTGATATTTTCCCTTCATTTAGAATTTGCCCAAAAATTAAGCTATAGCAGGCTCACAAATAAGCAAAGATTCTATTAAAGCAAAAGCAATCATCCCTGTTTTCTGATTTTACTACGCCATGCACACCAAATTTACTTCTACAACAAATAGAAGCATCCTCATGTCAAGAATCAGGGCATGATTACGAAGAGGTGCAAGAAAAATGACCAGTATACACCCTTACTATGTACTGATTTTACACCTGTCAGCTAGAAGAATGATCGTTAAAATTGTTGTCTATAGAGAAACCTTTGTATTAATGCAGCTTACAGTTAATAAAACACAATCCTTGTATAATTGCATTATTTCTGTGAGAGTTTACACGAACACAGGTGTTAGCAATGAAAGGATGAAAATTACTACGACTTGCACCTTTGATTTCTAATTTGCTACAATTGGTAATAGCTTTTAAACTGCCCTAGTTTATCCTACTTTGTATCTACTATTTAGCGCTATGTAGACACTATGGATTTAGGAATCTTTAAAATAAGTTAGGCAAAGCTCACTAAAACTGCGGTATATCCATATCGGATTTCTAAATTCAATAGCGATCTATCAATAAAGCAGCTATGAGCTTCGAGGATAACACTATCCACCGACTTTACCCTTAAAAATGCCCAGGGACTACTACCAGCTAATTTTAGTACTTTTCCTCCAATTTTTACACTGTAGAAGTAGTATTATTTCCCATTTCTTTTCTTTTACATGAGGGGATGTAGATTGGGGAAAGTACAATAATTAGTCGGTATAAGTCTCTGAAAATACAGATAATAAGACACGATTGAAAACTTCATTTGCATGCTTCATAGTAATATGTACTATAGACCTAATTTTTAACCATTTATTCATCAGCTCAAACCGCTTAGCATAAGACTTTCCTTTAACAAACTCAATAAAGCTCAGAGTAGGTAATTATTCTTTATTATTAAAAATCTAAAAAATTGCACCAAAATGGACTTTTTAGAACTTATCGAGAGGTATCGCAGTTCTAGCACATATTCTAATAACGTATTAACCATTTTTGCACCATTAGATACATGTCATGATGAACACAATATTGAAAATTAAAGGCTTTCTAAGCCAAACGAAGACTACAGTACTAATGCAAGTAAATAAAAAATTTAAGTTGATTTCACACTCTTTTAGTGCTATCAAAATTACTGCGTTAAATAAGGTAAAGAGTAAACTGCACTATTCGTAAGTTTTGACGAGCTATAAAATTAAATCGATGTGATCATCATGCAAAATGATGTCATGCGTTACTTGGAATCCAAAAACTTATCATGAGCTTATAGGCTAACATGTATAGCGTAAATTAACATTAGATAGATTTCATTATGGAATTGTGAGTGCATTTGCATCATCAGGCATTTTCAGTTGCTTTATGCATATCCGTGCTGTTATTTCTGGAAAACATTCTTACGCAAATTGTTTAAGAATACTAATAAATTCTTGCACGCACGATTTAAATTCAAGAGCACGTTTAATATTTATATCTTTTTGCATTTATATAAGGAAATATTTAAACCAATTTACTCCAGCATATATAATAAAACGGCGAATAGTACAGCCAGATATTTCTCCAAATAATTTTCTATCGTGAACGGTATAACCTCTCTAACAAGTATCTTACTTCGCAATACTTAGCATTGATTCAAATGAGAGATAATAAAATGTTATATAAGACAGCATATGGTTCGATATTTTTCCCAACAATTTTCTATCAAAAACAGAATGACCTCTGTAGTATGTATTTTACTTTGCAGGGTATATCATTGATTTAAAGAGGAAATATTGAAATATTATTAGTCTTAATGTTTTTCCAATTTTTTCTTAATAAAAATGTGATAGATCTCATAAATAGATATCATATATAAAATTGAATTAGGATAAAATGACGGGCACCCAAGCTGAGATATGCGACATTATGGAGGAAATCTAATCGAATTTCGATGACCCATTGAATGAAACACCGAATTAATCCCAAATTTGATAACTGATCAAGAATGGTAATATCAATAAGCACCGTTAGTAATTATGTTCCACTAGTATACAGTAATGAGCATTTACTCATTTGTGTCACTAAATTTCAGAATTTTAAATAGCAATTTTTCGTTCCATCGTATCAGATCTGTAAATAAGCTAGAATTATCTAATATGAAATAGGCTTGTACCATATATATTCAATCATGCTAACTTATTTAACAGGTGTCGTTAACCTTTGCTCGTCGAGGGAATCCAAGCACGCAATTACCTATTATAAGAATTGAATAAAAATTAGCTCTTATTGTATGTTGCATTTACTATTATCAAGCATTAAATGTAGCCTGCCTTCTTCAGAGATAGCCTTATAGATGGTCGCTCTTGCAAACACCCAAAAGCTAAATTCTGTAGCGTTTTTTCAATATTATATGGCCAGTGAGCGTAGGGATCACGAGGAAATACACATTTATTCTCCTCACATACTCGGTAATACTGGACCTGAAGTATGAATAAGTAACTGTCTGATTACTAAAGAGTATCGAGTTTAGACGACAAAGTAAGACCAACATTAGCATTCGTTAAAGCAATATGATATCTTTAATATAATTAAACCATTCAACTTATCATGTTTGATGAAAATATGTAGTCTTTTTTACATTTATAAACTAGACTTACCAGAGTTTGAAACCCTTGAAAAGGAGATAAATAAGGCCGGCCGGATAGAACTTCTAGCAGTACCTGCAATAATAATTTTCATTCACATCTTTTTAATCAAGAAGGACAGATCATGTCTTTAAAATTAGATTATACTCATGTATTAAGAACAAATTTAGCTGCGGCTCCTATTAATAGCAATTGATACTAGTAACTTACAGATCCAAAGCCATAGACGTCATATCCTAGGGTTATTTCACCGCGAAAAGCTTCAGGTGGTATTCGAGTATAGCCAAGACTGCCTTGTAAAATAGCAATCTCATCATCGAATTGATTTCTAGGAATGCGCGCCTTGGTTAATTTTGATTGATCGAACTTGCCAATTTTAGCCACATAGTGGGAATCGAGTAGGATATTTTCTGTTCTGATATCGCCGTGAATTAATGACTTCAGGAAGGCAGAATGAAGATATTGAATTCCTTGAGCAGTCCCAAGGCAAATTTGCAGCCTATACCAGCAATTTAATTGCGGATTCTGCAATATATAAATAAATGATATCATTTTAAGCCTATATATCCATCTAATGCTTTAAATGAACCATCGATCTTTTTTTACTGTTTCGAACCTGATCTTGTAAGTGTTGGCATAAATTGCCATTTTCTACGTATTCCATAATGTAGCATAGCTGATTGTCGATTTCAACACATTGATGAAACTGAATAACATTGCGATGCTTATATCTATCAAATTAATAAAGTGTAGTTATGGCTGTTTAGCGATCTGCTAAAAATAGAACCATTCTTTTGAATTCATATTTAATAACTAGTGTCTAACTTCAAAAATCTTAAACATTTCATGGGATTTAGTGCTGAGCAATAAAGATATGATCATCGGACTAGTTGAATTAAAGCATTTACTTCAATTGTATTTGATTTAAAGAGCTTAGACTTTTCGTGAAATGGAATGGTTACTAATATGTAATGCTTAATGATATAGTACTAACCGACGAAGAAATTGACTTTCTTTGGCGGCATTAACGGAAACCTGTATCGATATGATTAGATATTAATCAATGTGCAATGCTGTGATACTGAAATTGAGGCTGTAATATTATGAAGATAAACGACCTTCTCTTAAACTTAAAAAGCATTGCAGTACGGTAACGAAGATTAATTTACAAAGTAATTTAATACATTTCGCTAAGAAAATCTGGCAAGGAACGAATATTATCCTCGAAGATATAAGCGATACCGCTAGTTTACAACTGCTTACGTTATATTTTGTCATTCTCTTAATGGCTACACGACCATATGCGCGAATTTGACACAGATAGATTTCACTAAATGTGCCTTGATTAACTCGATGTTTCGGAGCAAAGTTATTCGTTTGTTGGATAATCTCCTGTTGTGGTAGTCAATCAAGTAGTTTAAACGAAAATTAATTCTGGATAAAAAGGGATTGAAATTCACGAAGATCAGATTGCATAAGTACGGTACTTCTGAAATGATCGATAGAAAAAAAATACATTTTACCTGGACAGTATCCAAGTTTGCTCGCTTGATTTTACTTAGGCGCTGATCAAAGGCAAAGTGATGATATTAATATAATTACATTAAATGTGATTGGCTATTTATCTTTAATTTCACTGGCATGGATTATATGTAATCTTCTTATCCTATCCACCAGTTAAATATTTTAATTCTTTCTAGTTCCTACCATTTCTTTTCTTTTTTCATATATATTGATCACTTCCGTTTTCCAACAAGAGAACAAGCATCCCATTTCCTTTTCGTTGGGAAAGATTAATTGTAAGAATACTAATTTCTAGAGTTCCTTCAAGAACTAATTTGGTTAGTTTGCTTTAAGCAGAGTTGCGAATGAATATCGCCGATCGCGTATAAAAGATTATTGAAATAATTTACTCTAGCGCATAGAACTTAAACGCTTTCTGCTACTCTTTGAACTATCTTACACGAACATTACCAGCCCATGCGCTGTTTCCAAAACTAATATAAATGAATGCTTTCCATCTTACTATCAATCCCTTAAATAATTTTGAGGTTATATAATGTAAGGTCATTACCAAACGGAATGTAGTCTTATATTAGCTTTAGCAGCAATCTTCAGCTTCATAGACTCTTTATATCATAAGAAAAGAATTGTACTACCAACTCTTGGCATGAGGTACTTTGTTGTGATGACACGTTGCTAAGTAGCATCAATTCCTCGATGTAGCAAAGTATTCTTGCACACCTAGGTGTCTTTGCTATCATTCATTCCATCAGTTACTCATGGGACTTGCATTAAAAAATAACAATACTAAAGAGCTAAATATAACATTATAATTTACAATTTGTTGATCGCGATCATATCAAAATCTTTCTATTACATCTCTTTACTAATGTTGATGCACGTCATCCGTGAATGGGGCCCATTTTATTTGTCAAGAAGCGTAATCTTTGCTGACGGTTACATCATATCTACCTGTACTCCAAATTTATTAATATTTTCCTCAGTTCTGTTTCTTTAATTCTATTGGAATTGAATGTACTAATAACTACTTTCATTACTGCATGAACACGATTTTGGGAACTTTTTATTCAAATGTATTTGTTTAAGCAATAACATTAAGGCAAGATTTAAATTAATACTCAAGATGCATCATTACCCTTTATCGATGACGTCCGGTTTAAATTAATTATGTTTACATACAATACATAAGAGATACAAATTTATATAGTTGGACTATATTACGTAAATACTGTCGTTAAGGCGTCTCATAACGAATGAACTTTTGTTAGATAATAATAAGTTTCGATTCAATAGTCAACAAACATGTTAAAAAAATTTTTTGGCTTGAACAGACTTACATATATATGTTAACATATTATTACCTCTGTAACGTAATTAATGGTTAGACATACATGTATTATAAAAATTTTCTGATCAATTTATCTTGCTGTTGAAAGTAAATGGGTAAAAATTAGCAATTTCTTGCAGCTGGTTGGGCTAGCTTCAACAAATAAATTCTTAGTTTATGCTAAGTAAGAATGTTAGCAGCTACGTTTATTTCATTTTGGGGAAAAGAATAATTGATTTGAATAATTAGATAGAGTTTCAGATTATTAATGACCGCTATAATTCTGTTGGATGAGACTGTAATAGAGATTGCAATTTTACTGTAACATTAGAATGAAGGAAGCAAAGTTACTAAGTAGATCAATGCCGGTGTATTAATGTGAATGATTACTTACAAAAATTAAATTGCTCTGGCATAGATATTCATTTTTCGGTTGTATTATTCATCAATCTGTTTGAAATAAAAGTAACCTATGAGTGTAAAAGATACAAAGATTCTTTTAATCAATAAAAGAAATTTAATATTCATTTTATCAGATAAAGTTTACATGCAATAGGCATATACAATCTTTAATTTTGAATTCTACTAAAATATCTGATACTAAATTTATTAAACCTTTGCATCAACAAATGGCCATTAGGTACGAGAAGTAGCCTAAAATTTGACTCGCTTGTCCACAGGATTTGTAACATTTAATCTAATATAGAATAGTTTAAAATATTGCCAAGAGCTAGTGTTAATAATCAATTTAGTACCTGTCACAGAAACTCAGAAATCATACTGCGAGAGCACAAAAGCTCTTACCTACGAAAATTGCTTCCTATATTATGTATCATGTTTATACCGTGCCATTTTACTACGACATTGCCTAAATTAAGTAGTTCCGTTTCGTAAAATATCCAAGACTACTTTGAAGTTGTTTTAAGTGCAATCTTGATAAGTAAAACTGCCAAACGAGTTTTTTATTTCCATCATTCATATTGTAATATTAAAATTTTTTTATTTACTTACTGCATTAAAGGCAATTACGATACGATTAAGATACTTTTAACATAAATTCGATGGAATGTTACAGGTATAAGTATGATTTTATCATTACTGTTTAATTTTGGATTGAGATTGTCTAGAATAGATTCTTCTAATTCATCATGATTTGCCTGCTTCTTAAAGTTTTATCTTTAATTAGAAATATTTTATCCTAAAGCATATCAATTTCCTACTTAAAATTTAAAGCTAACTATCGATATCATCAACTATCATCAATGTCGTTTCAATCAGAAGAATTGGCGCTTAAGCATTATTACAATTTTAAATTATATTAAAATTATATCTGATCGATCTCGTTTATGCTCTAATTTTAGATTCTTGCAATAAAACAAAATTCCTATCCTGTTCATCAATCAACTAACATAAATGTTAAACTTATACAGCAACTTTAATGAATTTGTTGATTCGATTGGTTCTGTTACTATCAGCTCAATTTTTTTGGTTGTACTTATTTTTTTTAAAGATTAACAATAAGTAAAACAATTTTCTACCTCTTTATGGGCAGTCTCTAGTTGAAAGGTTTTAGTTTACAAGGGCGATATGGAGTGAGTGATACAGCAAATATTTGATCATAATGATAGCTATATTTGATTGTGTTGGTAGCGATATTTGATATAGTTAAAGTTTCTAAGAATAGGTATTATCGTAGTGCTAATATTAGATTGCTAATTACTATATTATAAATTGGTGACGACTAGTATTAGCCAGTTGACTTGTTATGGTACAGTATTTATGTGACATGATATACTGTTGTTATGAAGATACCTAACACCGAAAGATACTGCACATTAATAGAAGAGTTGTGATATTTCAAGCAGATTGATTCAGATTGTAGGAGATGATGATGATCTATTTAAGCAAAGTTATTCTGTTTGATGACTAAAGTCTGATTGTAGCTAATTATGTTATCGTACATGGATTTAACGAAATGTGTTTAAGAACTACGGAGATGAGCTTACGTTAGAGGTTTGACTTAACTTTGAGCTCAGAATATTTCATACTAGATTCATGAAGCAATCAATTATTGCTCTACTATCCCTAAACGTTATAATTGTGATGGAGGGTTCGATATCTCGGAGGATTGAGATTTAGTTGCCACTAACAATTAGTACACTAAAGGTTGCTTAAAAATTATACTTTATTTTAAGTAGTAAATTAAGTACAGTGAGGTAGTTACGGTAGATCAACGTGCAAGCTGCCGTGAGTAACATGTGAAGCCTAACCAGGAAACTAACGATTTTTGAGGTGGAAATTAGCGGTATGTATAGTTTTAAAGATAGAGCACATGCAAAGAATAGGATTGTAGAATTAGATACAACATGTACCATAACAGGTTACAACATAGCTGATGATCATAGCAAGCAGCGAGTACTGTAATACTAAATACAGTAGCCTATATATGAATGTGAAGTAAGCGGAATGTAAATATGTCTAAATATAAGAGCAATACAACAAGTCTATATTTAAGGGTAGAATATAGTTACAGCATGTTCTAAATACACTACAATAATAAAGTCTTTATAGAAAATTTCATTTGACTACGACACTTTATTTGTGAGATACTTTTATTACACCACGCCAATTATTATGAGTATCTATCCTACCTCTTGTTAATAATGAAATCATTGTAGGGGTTCAAATTTCAAAATTATACCGTAAGTAATCGTCTTTCTGAGCGCTGGTTAGAGTACTGTGCTAATAGTTTAATACTAACATGTTAGATTATTCTTACTCAATCCGACTGTCAACAATCTGGTTAAAAGACATGATCGGAATGTATGCTTTTATAAGAGTCTTAATCAATTTTACCCATATTGGGCTGGTCTTTAATAGCTCTTATGACATCATATGACTGACATGTGCTAAGTTGAATATACTCATATAGAAATCATTCTAAAATTTCATCCGTATAAATAAACTGCTTTGTTTAAAATAAGGTATTAAAGCCTCACTACTAGGCTAGTGCAGTTGGTATTTATGAAAATACAAGGATCTTTGACTGTTGGTATCTGTAACTACGTTTAAATCTCCATCTCAAAGAATACTGAACTAAATTTCTTATTTCCCCAAATCTAGTACACTTGACTGCACGACTAATTGATATTCAACTGTAAGTACAAAGATTGTAAAGAGGACCAATAAGTAAATCAAAGTACTATCTGAATACAACAGTATACTGCAATTAATGAATCTTTAAAAGGTGTCGTTAGTTCGATTAAATCTAAATTATGTTGACTAGATATGTAACCTCTACCGATAGTTTTCATACGATAACTTGAATAGGTAAATGCTGATATCATCTTGTATGCTTCAATAGATAACTGCATACTTTTGCAGAACCATCTAAATACTGATGGAAATTTTTTGCGCAGATTCATTATAAGTTGACTGATTTGTAATATAGTTTCGGTTAATAGTATAGTCTGAGGAAATACATGTAGTGCACTGTGATGTCTTGATGATGGGAGATTATCAGAAAGAGAGCCATACCGTAGGTAAAATTCGGAAGGACAGTCCTGATAATGGGCTTATAGTATATATTTCCTTCCACAATTCTAATTTTTTTGTTATGAGTTTGTAATGACCACTTTCAAGATAGCCTAAAGATCAGTATAATAGTGTAGATAACTATGCAGCATTACAGCATAGAGAACTTATGTTATTACTCATTATTTACGACAATCATTATTCCATATGGTTGGCTAACCTCATAAACATAACTCCTCGTTTACTTTCAGTTACCCTCTATTCACCTAATTAGTCTTCCAGTCATTCCTTTATATGGTTAAACGATCAATTTGAAGTCATAGTTTAATTTAATTTTAATATTTTTTTCTTAGCTATATTAGCTGAACTTATGTTAAAAATATTTCAAGAGTTGAGAAAGCAATTTTTTACTTATAACTACATTATTTTAAAATAGTTGTACACATGTTTTATCGTAGGGCTGCATTTTTATCGTTAGCTTCGTTGCAGTATTGGGTGCATAATCTATAGATTTTTTTTTTTGGAAAGACCGAATTTGATAGCATATTTAGAGTATATTGGAGTATTGTGTCGAATAGTAAAAAGAATGGGAGGTATTTGTTCGTGCCGTAAGAATGAGGTAATTAATTAGTAGAACATTGCTGATTATTTCTTGGATAGTTGTTAGTTGAAAATGATCATTATTGTTGGTACATAAAGTAATTCCTTTATTAATTGACTTTGACATATCAATTTTATTTTAATTTCAACCTATGATTTAACCTAACTAAGTATGGTAATATGAATGTATATATATGAATTATAATAATAAGGAGCAACTACTGAGGGCGGAGTCTTACCTTGGAAACCCCAATCTTGAGATACAAGCTGAGGTAAATTATTCTGTCACTAGTTAATTATGGGACTATCACAGACTTCTCTTTTGATAAAGGATAAAGTAGAGTATTCAGCTCTTCTTAGTTGCTATTGTCAAATTTATTTTAGTATATAGGCAGAAATCTACTACGACACAAATTTTTAATGTACTTTACTATTCATCAATCAAGATACATTTACAATGTGACGAAGACACTATTTGAACGAGTCCTTTACAAGTCATTAAGGATGGATTATTAGTATAACAAAATGTTAGAAGGAAGTCTTTATTTTTAATAATTGCTAATTATTCTAGGATATAAAAATGGCAACAAATAATTTCTCGGCTGAGAATAGAATTGGTGCAGGCGCCTTTGGTGAAGTTTATCAAGCTGATCTGCACTCATTTGGCGTTGTTGCGGTTAAACGAATTAAGCAAAAATTTGTAAGTAAGTTTTTAACGGCATTACAATAGCGTATTTACTAGTTTTTTATGCAGTCAAGGCAATTATGATGCAGATCAATTTCATTAATTTATCTATTTTTGACGATTCATTTAATATGTATCTCGATGATACGTTACAAATATGGTGGTAAAAGATATCAGTAAATGATCGACGAGAATGTCAGCTTCTATTTCAGTAAGTAGCAACTACTTGTGTGTTTTTCCGCATCGTATTAATGAATTTAAGATGGATTATAGATGAAAGATTGCGATAATAATCGTTTACTTCTAGATATACACATATTAATCTCATACAGTTGCATACCGGCTTGGTTGTTGATGGCCACTTTTGCATGGTGATGGAGTTTATGATCAATGGCAGTTTAAGATCAAGATTGCAAGCGAAGGTATGCTGATTCAATAAAAGTCCGGTTCTTCATTTGAGTAATTTCTTATTTCTAGGTTAATGTAACTTCTATTAATGACCGTATTATGATATTGTAGTTGTACTAAAGTCAGAAATTTAGAATAGAATTGACAACAATTACATAAAAAATTTTGTAATAATCAATTACTTCATCGATACAAGCAAATAATTCGTACTCGAATTTAGCGAATTATAATTGCTAAATATCTATAAATTTCAGGATGAAAATCTGAATTATTTAGTCAGATTACGAATTTGTAGAGGCATAGCCAATGGAATCAATTATCTCCATTCAGCATTTAGGACATATCTTGTGCATAGGGACATTAAGAGTGATAACGTATTGCTTTCGGAAGATTACACTCCTAAAATATGTGATTTTGGCCTAGTAAAAATTTTCTCTTCAAAAAGGAATAATAATGTTAATAGTGCTGCCATGACTGAAAATATATGCGGAACTCAAGCTTACTTACCCCCAGAAGCATTTGATGGAATAATATCACGGCGTCTTGATGTGTATAGTTATGGAACTGTACGTGCAGTATATTGATTTAGCAATGCATTAATAAATTTGCAGAGGCTCATAATTGAGATTGCTCTTTATCCCGAAGGTATTACTGGAGATTATATCAGGGAAATCACCGCTCTTTAGTAATAAAGAAGGAATTCCATATTTGGTAAATCTATATTTATGCAGTATTTTAAGGCCATCTTACCAGCAGCATGGATGCACTTATAATACTCGTATTATACACGAACCGATATTATTTTTAGATTCAACTACAAGATATTTCGAGATTAATTTAATGATTGATGCTTATGTTAGTTCGATTACAGACTTAACTGGCTAATTTCCATCAGATATAGTTTTCTTTATAAATTACAATGATGAACGAATTTAGATATGACATATTATTATGGTAAATTGACTATCTCACACTGCTGACGATACCCTGTTTATCATTAAAAATCGCTACTAGGCGGACTACTTTCTCTACTGTTACATACACCAAATATCAGCCTTTCCTATCGATAAAAAGGCCAACTGGCCTAAAGATTATACAAAGGAATTAATGAAGCTAGCCAATTGGTGTCTAAGACATAAATATGAAGATCGACCATATATGAAGGAGGTTAGTAGGGAGACTATCCAAGGTTTGATTTTGCCGTAATGATTACTAGATGAGCTTATATTATCTATTTATAAGGTGATTGAAAAGCTTTCAGAAATCGCTTCTAAGACAAAATGATTATCATGGTAATTATAAAAAATGAATGATTGCAGTAGCTGAAGAATTTACTCGAATAATTAAAATTACTAAAGAATACAAAATGATCTTTAAATCATTCAAGATTGAAATAATTATGATTTTTTTGTCATATATCAGCGGTGCAAATAGCTTCCGAAGTGTGGCAATTAATTAAATATTGTGTCATCAATGATTTACTTTTATCGAGTAATTAATCATATGTTAACACCTAGCCATTAATAAACTATTATTAAATGTCGTAGAAAGTGTGTTGTGATTGTTGCAATATTCAATAAGTAGACTTGGCTATGAATTTATTATTGCTTGCACCAATGAAGTTTGTGAGGCTATATAAAAGCCTCAAAGTTCTTAAGAATCAAAATTTTATTCTAAAAGCTACTTATTAAAATGACCGATTAAACTCACAACTTGCAATCTACTTCTAACAACTGATAACATTCTGCTATCGACTAACTTGTTAAATTCCTCAATCAACGTGAGTATTCTATCGTCTAAGACTCGAATCTGAGTTGGTAGATTAAAGAGTGCGTAGAGTTAGTTGCTTAGATAGTTAAGACTACTTTTGACGAAAGAATCTAATTAATTTTTGTCGTACAATCTCGGTTATGACATCGAGATAACGTAATTAATGAAGAGCTATGATAGAAACTGCATCGATTCAATGATACGATGTGATATATTTTAATCGCTAAGTAGTAACTGAGGGTATAAATTAGTCTTGGCTACTCTTTTGTTTCCATTTATCCAATACTTGCTTACATTTGGTAAACACCTAAAAGTCAGGCAGGTAAATGGATTTGATGAGTAAAGTTGCTTTGTGATTTCCTGTAGAAGCCTTATTTTAATATTAATCAAGTCATACCAGTTCAATTTGGGGTCGTTCTTTGGCATTTTCAGCAAGGCACGCAGCAGATAAAGTAAGTAGTACTTTTCTTGGGCGATAAATATTAAGATAGTTAATATTTTTCTTCCATTTTATTCCTATATCCTTGAGGTATTTCCAGTTTTTGTAAGAAGTATTCAACAGATAATCTTTCTATTGATGAGATGAAATACGATATGCAATAAATTAATATAACTAAGATAAAGACGGAGATGTACAAAAAATTTGTTAATTTTGCAAACACAATGAAAATTAAAAGAACTAACCAGTTGAGTTGGTTTCCTATTGCTATCATAAATCGCCTTCCCAGAAACTACAACTAAACAGATCTAATTGAAATATGAAGCAAAAAGGAGTATTGATTAGATCTTATTACGTGTAATTCAATATATTCAAAGCTTAATCGCATTTCTTACTGCTCCAAAGCTGTATATATCGTTAGAATAATCGATCATTCCACGTAGGGCTTCCTCGCAAAAATAGCCAATCTTATCGACTTTGGAAGATTGAGCTAGCTGAATGTTCTTAGAACAATTTACCTGTATACATCCATCGGCCAGTTTTGCTGTTCCATTTTCGTTTATCAAAACATTTGTGCTGTTAGATAAAAGGAAAATTTTAATTATCCTACTAAATTCAAGTTATGGAGGAAATGATCTGGTTTACAGTAATCCACGCTAAATAGAGCAAGTTATTACTAAGGATACTTCCTAATTGATGTGCTCAGCAGTGGTGGCAAAAAATACAACCACTGACTACTAAAGTGAAACTAAATTAATGCATCTTAGTAGTCCATGATAAAACATTATTGAATACTTAGGTTAGTCGTATATCGTTTCATTTCACTAGAATTATAGGCTTAATGCTAATATGCCGTATTTGCGCTGACACTACAGTTACCTAATCATCTTGCAGATACAGTTAATACACTGTAGATGGCAAGCATTAGTACTACATTAAAACATTATACTAAGAGATTCAATGAAGCTCAAGGAAAAACATCGAAAAGTAATTACGAATAAATAAGAATACGCTAATCGTTATTTACGGCAATAGAAAATATTTATGTATAATGATTGCAAGTAGGCTATAGACTTTTATCATTTTAAATTGTTATAAACTAATTGATATTTAAGTAAAGTGCGTGATCCTTTCGTAAGGGTTAAGAATAAATATTGGACAGTCATTACGAGTGGATATGATTACATTAATTATTATTTACAACACTAGCAAATAATAATGCTTAATACTTGCTAATAAACAACTGATTTTTACCATTTTAAATTATTGTGAACTAGTTCATAATCGTGTATATAGCGCAATCCATTTGCTATATCAGATAGTATGGATAATCGTGTTCCACACTCAGGCAGCTTATTATCCTAAAATAAATCAAAGCCTCTATAATCAAATCATGGAGCTTTGTATCAATAGTAAAATAAGTTACAGTCGATTCAATAACATCATAATATTACTTTTAATAGCTCGTCAAGCGATAGATTTAGGAATTCTAGAAGTAAACCTCCAGGATCTGGGTAATAGTCATAGACGACCCTTATATTTCCATGCCTTAGTCTACAGTAAATAAAAATTTTGTCGATGACGATGTTATAATAGGAATGGTAAAGCATTCTTGGTATATGTACGAATAAAATGTAGTCGATACAAAGTAAAAAGGGTGACAAGCCTGGGCATTATTTCAAGCTTTCATAGTATTCTGATATTTAATCTATCACAGAGCTTCTATAGCTTACCGTTTTAAGTCATTAATGACATTCAGGTTATCGCCAAGATACTTACACATAGCCTAACAAAAGTTAAGAAACGATATCAAATAATATTGAAAAGAATGTGTAGAGATGAATATTTACTGTAAAAACTTGATCTATATTTGCAAAAAATTTAATGATAGAGAAAATTTTATATTGCCATTTGAAATAAATAAAATAGTTTTCAATTTAAAAGTATATCAAGTAGGCTATTAAGAAAACAAAGCTTTATCTGATATTTTAAGTAGTGATGTAGGTAACTTCAAATCAATGGATGCATTAATACTTGCTAGCTAAATGAAGGCAAAACTTTCAATACTTGGAGTTTTAAGTCAACTATATATCGAATTGAAAGCGCTAGAAAACAGTATCATTTTAAATCGATTCCGTATATTGATAGAGCTGTCAATCGTTAAGCAACATTAAAGGCTTAAAATCGATGCCCCCTGTAGCCATGGTCAAGATATTGGTGCTAGACTTGAGTGCATAATGGAGTAGCGTTTTCAAAGATATCATATTGAGACATTAAAACAGTCAAATGCTATTACAGTGGCGTTTATATAGTTTAAATGGTCTAAATTTGCTACTATAATATTCAATGGTCACTTTAAGTAATAAAATATTTTGTAGGCTACATGGGGAAAAAATTAATGAGTGGCTGTTTCAGAATAGGGAAAGAAAGACCACTTTATTACACTGCCTTAAGTTAAAGCTAAATCAATTCTTAGTTCATATAGCTAATTCAATCTCGATTATAGAAAAGAATAGAAAAATTATCTATTTTAAGACATTCTAATTGGCTTGAAATTTAATCATTATGAACATAATCAGATTGATGCGACGTTAAAACTATTTTAGTAGCTGATCAAATTTATCCTTGTAAAATTCAAGATAAAGATGAAATAAAACGAAACAGTATATATATATAGTGATCAATTAGAAGTCAATCTTATCAAAACGAGTCTATTTTATACGCAAAAAGATTCATCTTACTTCAATAAATGACATACCTCATCCTTCCATTTCTTAAAAACGTAAGGCTGCTTGTTTGAAACGATTTTGTAAGAAGTGCTCAATTTACCTGACCAACCATTGCTGTTGCTCATACAATTTTCAATTATCTTCAGGATAAAATAAGTAGCAAAATAGATAGAAATTGATTATACTGTCAAGAGATTTTATTTTAGTTGATTGTATGTAAATAATTTGATTTTTATAGTTCATCGACAACAGAGACTTACTGATTGCATTACGGCCCTTTCATTATTACCAGGATTGCTTCTACTAGAAGTTAGCAAAATGTTACTGGCTATACTAGGTTGAGAGGTTTGAGCAGAAGAGGATGATTTCCTAGGCTATAACGTTACAAAATAAAACTACAATCAATCAAGAAAATCTCTTTATGTAGCAACAACGGCGATGATGTATTTACTCACTAACTAAGAAAGTTTAAGGTACGAGTGCTAACTTAATTTAACCATTTTAGATTGTAATTTTCCGCTCAATGGATTAATTCGGAGCCAGTTATAAGTAAAACACTCAAAAAGAATTATCCAATTTTGAAATTTATTTGCTGTACTTACAAAACAACAGCAGGTTTTAACTTGTTTGTCATCAGATTGACTCTCACCCATGGCTGTCCTTCACCGATTGCTAAAGTAGTCAGCACTTAGGATTATCGCATTAAAAAATTAATAAGTCTACTTAGATGTCGACTATTACTGTAGTAAGTAAACAGCAATCGGTCTTCCGATCGATACTTCAAAGCAGGTTATTGTTTAGATTAAATAATTTTGCGTCTATGAAGTACAATAGCAATCGAAATAAATGTCCCTATGGCACAACTTTGCTATATCAGCTAATTTTATGGGTCTTTCTTCACTCTAGCTAGCATAGGCATGTTTATACCACTGGCTAGATTGGTCAAGCTTTATGATGGCTTTCTTTAGTTATTGGTCTAGTTAAGACGCCATCCTTATAGGATGATACAGTTTTTGTAAGTCTAGGCGAGCGAATAATCACAGTGATTGACAAGGAGATGAGACTTTTGCCCTTAACTCGAGAGTCGATGATTTACTCGCTAGCAAGCTTGTGGTGGAGTTCTGGGAAACTTGCTTATGATATAACAATGTCCCCTTGTTTATAACAATACCAGAACATTTTATGGAATGTTAGTAATGTAGAGACTATGAATAGCAGTCAGTGATTATTCTTAGCGTCCAACAAAAACAATCTACTGTCTACTATCCCAATTTTTGAAATATAAGAATATTATAGATGAAAGTAGAGAATTAATAAAGTAACTAGCATTCCAAATTTCCAATCAGCCTTTATTGATTAATTTAGAGTCACTTTTTTGCACTTCTATTAATTCATAGCCAATCCATTTTTATACAGATTAGCCCATCTAGTTCCAACTTAATTGTGGTCTTCCTTTCAATCACTTAATAATAAACTTGAAAGGTCTCTTGATGGGCTCTCTAATTATTATGCCTGCGGCCATATTATTCTCCTACTGTGACTTTGTAGCGGGCAATAAAACCTTTTGTCTCTCTAAACTCTCTATGAGTTCGGCAAGACTTATCAAACTGCAGTTTCTGTACTAACAAGATAATTCTTTCAGCTTATAACGCCTAGAGCAAATTATCCATTGACATTTTTCACGGTTTATTAGTAAAGTTAAAAGGTAGGTAAGAAAGTTAATAAACGCACTTTAAATAATGCTTTCGGGTGGTTCCGGTTGCATGTAATTTTAATTGTTTACTTTAATTATTGATACAGTTGATTTGATGTAAATTTCACTAATCAAGGCGTTATTGAACGCACTCCAAATTTAAAAAATTTTTTTCTAGTATTGCAGGTAGTCTGTTCTATCTAGCATTGTAACTAGAATGATATTTTGTCAGCTTCCTGCTGCAATTTGATAGATAATGAATTGTTTAATAATTACAATTAATCCTTTGCAGGTTTTTAGGCAAAACTGAAATTGATCTCCGATCTGGGCCTTATTTTAGTATTACTTTACCGAGTTAGAAAAGAAAATGGGAAACGGATGTTCATGTTTTAAGAGTCAGGTAAATTGTAGACTACAGAGAGTTCTGGTTGTTTGTCTGATAGCTATTTGTGAAGATCAATTACTGCTGTCACATACATAAAATGCGGTACTTAATTAATCTTAGAACATAAAGTTAAATTTTCTTTCAATCTCTATGCTTACTTGATTGCAATTGAGACCATGTAAAATGATTAAATTACTTAGGAACGGGAATTATTGCCAACAGTTGGAGATTCGAGCTTTGCAATACAACCTAAGGTATTACATTCTGTTAATGCTTACAGGATAGCGCTGGATATTTGTAACTATTTAAGGACGAACCATTATAGAATTATTTCCATCAAATTGTGCATTTAAGATAGTTAAACTTGTTCTAGGATGTAAATAGGGCAACAAATAACTTTTCTGATGAGTACAGGATTGGTAGAGGCGGTTTTGGGGAGGTCTATCGAGCTGATTTGGATCAACATGGCCACGTCGCTATCAAGCGAATTAAAAAAGATTTAGTAAGCAGCTTTTGAGGTTCATTGCAGTGTCTAAACTATCAGTATTTTATGATTCAGCAATATCAATTATAAAACGAATCAAGATTAGTAATTTGCTTATTTTAATCATCTGCTTAACATTTATTCAATAATCTAATGCTGATGCACTGAAAGTTATCGATGGAAGATGAACGAGAATGTAAACTTCTATCTGAGTAAGAATTAATTACAACACTTGTATACTGAAAAATACACTACAGTAAATATAGTAAAGACAGCTTATAAAATGTAAAGTAGAATCGATTTATCAAACGATCTTCCTTCAGAATTGCATCTATATTACACTAGAAGTTAGCATATGATTAAACCGATATAATACTGCTTCTACATTCAGTAAGTTTCTATACGGTAGTAATTCGATGGTTACTACTTACTTCTAGCTATCAACATCCTAATCTCGTTCGATTTCATACTGCGTTGGTTGTTGATAAGCACCTGTGCATAGTTATGGAGCTTGTAGCAAATGGCAGTTTAAGAATAATGCTGAAAAATGAGGTAAAATCTTTTTTGCGATATTAAAAGTATCTTCGTAAAGGTATCTCTAGGCTACTCCAACTTTATTTAATGAAAAATATGATGATGCTGTTCAAGTTCGAAATTTTGAATAAAATTAACTATGGCTGTGATGTATTAACTGTTTCATGTAAACCATTTCGTTACGATCATTTTCATTTATATCAGTTCTTGTTCACATTCCAATGGAAACGTTATAATTGCTAAAACTTTATGAATTTCAGGGTGGAAATCTGGATTATAAAATCAGATTAAATATTTGCAAAGGCATAGCCAAAGGAATCAATTATCTTCATACAGCATATAGCACACATCTAGTACACAGAGACATAAAAACCGATAACGTATTGCTTACGGAAGACTACACGGCTAAAATATGCGATTTTGGTCTTGGAAAAATATTATGTCAAAAATTTAATAGCGAAACCGTTATAACTAGCCACATATGTGGAACTGAAGCATATTTACCTCCAGAAGCTCTCCAAGGAAAAGTATCACGTCGTCTTGATATCTATAGCTACGGAGTTGTACGTATATATAATTATAAAAGTACGGTATAGAATCAATGCTATAATGGCTTGCAAGACTCATTTTTTTCATCATTTTCTGGCAGGTATTACTTGAGATTCTATCGGGAAAATCACCTCTTTACAATGGTAGTGAAAAATGTCGTTTCTTGGTTAGTCCATATTCAAGTGCTACATGAATACCATAGCATTGGATTATGTACACTGACATAAATATTGTATAGCTAGCCTATAATTTACATTTCAAAATGCAATATATTTTGGCATATATAGCACTCATCATTATGAAAGCTCTCCTATTAGTTCGATTTTAATGGCCATATGCTATAAATCAATTACAGTGCTCGTATAAATGAAGAAGCTCTAGAATTACTGCTAATAATTACCATACCGAGAAATTGATTTGATATTTTGAGATGATGAAAATCGAAATCGACTTAACTTTAGACGCTCGAGTTCATTAAAAAAAACAAAGGATTTGAGATTGATTCGTTGAAAAAATTAAATCAAAGACCTTCAAACTATATTTTATTTCAAAATATTTTTACTTCAATTCAACAATAGATAAAGTACTCATATCTATATACTCGTAGATCTAGTGAATCTACTTAAGATTGCTACCGTTCTTGTTTTGAAATTAAGTACTTTTAAGAGCCCGTAAATATCGACAAACTACTTGATAGTGGAGTTTGACAAGTATTTGTTACCTTTTCATACAGCAAAATGAATGCAGAAAATTTTTATAGTATTTTTAATAATCAAGGTCAAATTACTTTATCTCTCCTACTAATTTATTATTGCCAAGTTACCATAATCTGAACGGTCAATACTAAATACTGTTAGAGAAGTTCAGTTTAATCCTAATCATATTTGCTACGAATCATAAACTTATGTTAAGTTTCAAGCAAGAAAAATATCTCAGAAACTCTTATAATATTTATCAGTGCTCCATCGCTTAATTTTATCTATCATATATTTAACCGATGATTTTTCCATTAGATATGATATGTGCTTGATAGGCTAAAATAATAGATAAAATTTAGACAAATGTTATAACAATATTGATAAATTGATTATTCTAAAGTGCGTACATAATCCTTTTGAAATCATTATTAGGTTGGTCTATTTCATCTTCACTATAATCACAATAGAACCGCGTTTCCAATCGATGAAACTGCCAATTGGCCTAATGATTATAAAAGGGGATTAATGGAGTTAGCCAAATGGTGTCTAAAGACTAAATATAGAAAGAGACCTTTGATGAATCAGGTCGGTAGCAAGAATAGCTTAATTATTATACGGTACGTTCGATTTTATATAGATCGATTACTGAGTAAAATCTAAATTTTTATTTTATACGGTAAGGTGATTATCGAATTAGAAAAAATCTTTTCCAGGAATGTTTGCGCGTAATTTCTTGAAGGATAGCCAATGATGGACATTTTTAAAAGCTTTTAATTTGCTTACTTGATCCTGAGGATGAACTAATGCTACATCTCCGCATGGATTAAAAATCAAATTTAGTTGATCGCAGAGTATCAGCTGGTTAAATGTGGGCAGTATCAAACAATTTTAAGAGTTCAACTTCATAGATTGTACTAACAATAACCGTAGTGTACTACTTATTTGTATAATGTACATTTAACTATTCATACCGTGGAAATCTCTTATACTCTAGCTTGATTGTATCGTAGAACTATTGAATTAAGCTATTCTTAATAGTCATTCGTATTTTAGGAATAATTTCCCCTGCTGTGCTTCTTACATTATAAAAGCGCTAATATTGCATCTACCTCGTTAGTTAGTTCTGTTAGTTGCATAGTAAGCTTGTACGCTTTACGTATTCTACATTACTAAAGCTATTTGACTACTTACGTCGTTGTACACGCTATAACCTCACGTGGCTTTCCTCTACCACTAATTCCAATAAACTCTACTCTTCTCTGCTAATTTAACTCTGGTAATTTAATTGCAATTATGACTGACCCTAAACCTTCCGAAATATCACTATAACAACCCAATACGAGATTGTTTCGTCGGAATTCTGACGACAATCGTAATTCTACTAGATCTATGATGAATCAAATGGTCTTAGGTATAGGCTATCCAATGATATAAATATGATGAAATTGTCACTACAACTATCCTAATGTATTAAGTATTGATAAAACCAGCCATAAATTATACTATAGATTACATTATGATTAGACAACTATCCACACTAGCTATTTAATTTACATTGTACAAGTGTGGATCTAACTATACAGATATTCATTTACAATTCATCATCATACTGTATGTTATATATATAAATATTTCTATAGACTAAATTGATCACTGTTTTACTATCTTCTAATTAAATTAAAAGATATTCGTATTGCAACTTTTTACGCCACACGTATAAAAGCCCTTGGTTCTCAAGCCATAGATTAATCAAATAGGGTATAAACAAGCAGCTTTTAAGCATTTATGTCATCTTTGACAACGTATATAATTTTTGCCCCCTATATTACTCCTGAATAATGAAAAAACGCGATGTACCTTTTCTACTGAGCTGAAGATGGCAAGATCGCGATACACTACCAAAGTGCAATTTTAAGATTTACTCGTAACTGAGTATCGAATTATACATTGTAAGCATACTGATAAACTGAACTATATAAATTGATTTCATATCAATACCGAGTTGGCAACTGTAGTGTTTACTTCTAAATACGGTATAGTCTATTTTTAGTAAAAGTCAATTTCCACTAGATTGTAGCATAACTCTAAATATGTATAATTTATATTTAACAAAATACTCTGTGGAAATCGCTTTGAATCTAGCTGAATTTATATCGTAGCCCTGTCTTAACATAGAAGTAACATATTCTTATTAGTCATTTATGATTTCCTCCTGCTGTGCTTTATACATTATAAAAGCTATCTTCTTTCACCTATCTCGTTAGTTAGTTCTGCTAGTTACACGGTAAGCTTGCACGTTTTACCTATGCTACATTACTATAGCTATTCGACTAGTCACGTCGTTATACACGCTGTAATCTCACACGGTCTTTCCTTTGCGCTAATTCCAATAAACTCTATTCCTCTACTAAATTAACTCTGGTAATTTACTGTGATCATGACGAATCCACAATCTTCCGAAACATCACAGCAACTTATTACTGAAAAAAAGGATGTTCCTTATTTTACTTAAATGTCCTTGCATGTACTGTAGAAGTGATAATATAAGATGAGAAATCTTAATTTATGGTACTTTCGATTTTAGCAAAGTTATAGAATATAGAGTGTATCTCGCTACTCATGAAAGTGTCTATAACAAATAATGAGTGACTATTATCCGATCGTAAGTTAATACTAACATTAAACATGAAATGCATAAAACAATTATTAGGCTATAGTACCGCATAAATTGACATCCAAAAGCAATATCATCTTCTACACGACGATGAATTAATATTTATACTCGTAAGATATGAGGAAATTGACTCAATATAATCTGCTCATAAATTTGATAATAAGTAATTTAATTTTCGGCAAACGCTGCTACAGTAATTAAAACTGAACTTAATTAATTATTAACATGCAACATAACGTGAGCAGACTGCCGTATTGGCTTAATTTTTCTCAGGTCCAATTCATCACATGTTCGGTGCTAGAATTCATCTAACTTCTATTTAAAGGTCTATCTACTTCAATTTCTGGCAACTAAAATACGAGAATTAATATTTAAAAATGCATTAAATTATATAATCTAAAGGAAGTTAGCTATCTAGCCGTTACGGTATTAGAATATGATGAAGATTGATCTATTTGCTAATTAGTACGCAAATTAATTAACTGACCATTTTTTTAAAGAATAATCATATTGCACAAAAACGCGATTTGTAATCTGCAAGGATCTGTTTCCGCTAACTATGTTGGCTAACTCATTTAACTTCTCTACTATTATTAAATCCCATCTCAGAAATGGTGATTTTCAATCACATGTTGAAAAAAAAAATTGCCTGATGATAGATAGTGCTTAACTACAGATAGGACAAAGTCTACTTTGATTAAAATGACTGCATGTGATAGATTGTAATTACTAAGCGGAATATGAATAAAAATTAATGGCTGCCAACGTTTCCTTTCCAGTTAATTAATAGCTGCTGACAGTTTTGCGATACCTGAAAAATCGAAACGTAAATATTTAAAAGAATTCTAATTGCATTATGAATACATGCTGTGGCTTTCATTTAATTCTAATCGAGTCTTACCTTATCTATCGTAGGGCGATCTTGGGCAGTTTCAGAAAGACAATTAGCAGCTAAACCTAGCAGTGCTTTCCTTGGACGATCAGTCTTGAACATAGTTAATTTTTTGTTCCATTTTATATTTTCATCCTTAAGGTATTTCCAGTTCTTGTAAGAGGTATTTAATAAATATTCTTTCTGTCGAAAAAAATAGATATGTAAATAAAAATGAGTTAAGTAAAATCAACGCTGCAGCATCGAAAAGAATTTGCTTATTCTTATAAAACTATGCGCATTAAGAGAGCTAACCAACAGAGATGGCTTCCTATCTCTTGCATAAATCGGCTTTCCAGAAACTATAACTAAACAAATCTAATCGAAATATCAAACAAAATAGAACATGTATTAAGTCTTATCATATGTAACTCAAATCAAGTTATAACTTTCTTGATTTTACTTACTGCTCCAAAACTGAATATATCGTTAGAGAAAGCAATTCTTCCAGCTAGAGCTTCTTCGCAACAATAACCAATCTTATCAATCTGGGTAGATAAAGCCAGTTTCACTTGCGTGTCATTGCCATTATTGATACATCCGTCGCTTAACTTTGCTATTCCTTTACTTCTGTCTATCAAAACATTTGTGCTGATAGATAAAAATGCAACTTTAATCGTAGCTACGGCATACATGATTATTTACAAAAGTATATAAATTAATGTAGATATTGAAAACAAGCTTTGCCCTAAGGTATCACTAATTTACGATATCTGCTTTACATAAGTGCGTATATTTCAATCATTGCAAGCTTAATGCTCAATTTTACCATTTTAGATCATTGTGAACTAATTGACAATTGTGCAAATAGCGTAGTCCTTCCGCAATATCGCACATTATGGACAATCGCCCTTCACAGTGAGGTAATTCCTTCTTCTAAAATAAATTATTATCACTTTTAGTAGCATTAATCATAAAGATTTGTTCTAACAGGAGAACTAGTTTCAGTCTACTAAAGTCGCGCAAAACTACTACCTTTACTAGCTGCTGAAGGGATAAAGGCAAAAATTCCTGAAGGAAGCCTTCAAGATCTTGATAGTAAGCAAAGACTTTTCGCACGTTTTTGTGCTTTAATCTACAGTATCAGAATTGGATTAAGGATATTATTAATAGGTGAATGCTTCGGCAAATTTAATAGATATCGAATAAGGTAAGGTAAAAAGAACTTAAAATTGTGATAAGGACAAGCACAATTTCAAGGCATACACAGTAACACTCTTCCATAAAGTCTCTGTGCATGATTTCTCTAGCTTACCGTACTAAGTCGTTGGCTATTTTTGTGTCGTTAGCAATATACTTATGGACAGCCTAACGAGAGATTAAAAGAAGAGGTCAAACAAACTATACAGTATTAAAAAGTTGACGTGGAAATACCATAATTTAATATGAAAACTTGAATTATAATATAAAATATATTCTATTTGACATTGCAGTTTTAACTATGCTAAACTGAAAATATTTCAATTTAGATATATGCCAAGTAGCAAGGCTAAATAATAATTATATATATAATTAATAAACAGGAAGATAATTAAGGATTACATCCCATTCTGCTATTCTAATTAGTGGTATTGATTACTTAAAGTAAAATAATTAATAACTGAAATCCAAATAAAATCTTAGTCTGCAAAGCTTGGAATTTGAAGCTTACTAAGCTTTAAATCGAGAAAATTAAAACGTATTGTTTAATATACCGTAGTTGTGCTAGAGCTATAAACTATTCAGTCTGCTGCTTGAATTTACGGCTTAAAATTCATTACTATGTTGAAAGTAATTAAGTTACTAGTCTATAAATTTGATTAGATATAGAAGTTCATGCCATTTCTGTAGTAGAAAAGTATGATAAAATGTTTTATCTAGAAATTTGTGATTACTTCGTAATCCAATGATGGTCAACGAGTCAGATTTACGAAATTTTGCAACTATTTTGATATCTAGCTAGATTAATCTTACTAATAACCATGATGCTTGTAAAGGATTAAACGGGATAACATTCAATTGCTTTTGCAAGTAATAAATTAGACACAGCATTAATTCATTTCGATTCGGCTTTGGTAAAGGAAATTATTTGCCTTTTTCCAAAAAATCCTATACCTCATTTTTCCAGGCCTTAAAAGTATAAATCTTTCCAGCAAATACAAATCGGTAAGTAACACTTGATGGACCTGGCCAACCTTGTCGTTTTGCGACATAATCTCTAATCGTCTTTATTAATAGCAGTAGTCATTGAATAGATATACGCATATATACATAAATTGGCCTTACAGTGACAAATTTCTAGTGAATATATAGATTGGAAATTATTTTCATGCGATAATCGAAACTTACGGCATCTGGTACAGGGCCCAACCCATTGCCAATACAAGATTTTACAAACTTTTTCGAAGTAGCTAGATCGTCACTAACGTCGCGATGTTTAGGAATTCTACGAAAGGAGCGGAATAAATTCCAAGGCTATAGGTTGTAAGAAGAAAAAATCCACAATTAAAAAAAGAGCAAATTGATATCGTACGTCTAGACCATTATCAAATCTATACTATACGAAAGAAATTACAGAATGACTGATTTAGGTTATTAATCTAAATTGCCGATGAATTGGTTGACATTTAGTAGAGCCAAATCAGTATAGTTTAATGTAGTACAAGTATAGCTCCTCATCCCAGTTTTAAAATAAAGTTATCATACTTTGCTGCGAAAGTTTCTAATTCCATCGTCTTTAGTCTGTGGATTATCATTTAAATACCATTTCTCCATAGCTGTGATTAACCTTTAGTTAAAGTTAACATTCAATTTAAACTGTACAAGATTTTCCGTAGAATACGATTTATACGTAATATTAAATTGACCTAGCCAATCTCGACTTTCTTTCGTATGCCTTTGAATGGCTTTGACTAATAAGATGATAACTTGAATAGATGAGAATTGAACTTATTGTGGAAGATTTCAATCTAATCAATTGCTCGCGTCTGATCTTAGCGTTAATACGCCTATGAAAACTTACAAAATTTAAGCTATAGTCACTGTCGTCGAAATTAGAGTCAACAAAGCTAACAGAAGTAACCTGATCATTACAGGCTATACTAAATCGTTAGCAACCAATGAAACGGGATAAGTACCAGTAAAACTAAAAGATTGCAAAAAGCAATAAATGGAAACCGTAAACTAGTGTAGTAAAGACCATCATAATTATTCTATAAAGAGATAGATAGTTTTATCGAGCTAATTCAAGTCATTCTTTAAATTTTAGTCAATTAATTTATCATAATAATAACTAGCATTGATCTATTTTCGATTGCCCTACTCATACAATAACAATGGGTGGTCACCGAATGTTAACTACTCTCCAATTGCATATCCTTCATGATTCTAACCAACTTGTTGCTAGCAAAATTATATGTTGGGCATTATCTTTGCAAAACTGATATAATCTACAGTATACTGAGGTTAATAATTAGAATTTATGGAACAAACATCAATCAGTCTCTCTCATCAACCCCAAGCAAGTTGTTTACTTCACGATCGTCATAGTATTCAATAATTAAATAATATACGTGTACAGTGGTGGAAGAAAAATAGCTTCTTCTAGATCACTCTGTATGGGAGCCCTGTTTAATTTAAGTGAAAGTCTTTATCTATTTAGTACAATGGAATAGTTGGATAGCATAAGTGAATTCAATTATTGCATAAAAGCCTTCGTCCATTTCGTACAATAAATCAGTTGGATCATGCAAATAAAATAAGCGAAGAATCCCAGCACAAAACAATGGAGATAGCGTGCATTGATACACTTTTACAATAGAGAAGCTCTGAAGATCGCTAATTCTCTGCATGGCCGCCAAAATGCCGGCGGGTATATATAGCGGTATTGTAATTTTTTCCATTTGAAGGAGTGTTGTGTACCGCTGTGATAAGACTGGCGGATAGAGTTAATCGGATTAGTTTATTAGCGTTGTTGTGTTCCTTAAATTTAAGCTTGCTTTACAAGAGCAGTTTGTGTTTTATGTAAAGCAAGTTTTAAGCTTGCTTTACAGCTTGATTGACAATAACAGCAAGTGTTATAACAGTAAGCGGTAATTTGCCGTTCGTATCTCAATTAATTAATCAAGTTATTAAGTTTTTTAAATTGTTTTATTACAAAATATGTTAACCACAAATTTCTCACTATACTGCAATAGAAGTTACTGTAATGCTTTCAGGCGTTAAAGTTTAAGCTATTTATCACTCAACGATCAAGCGATCAACGGCCAAAATTATGAAAATTGTATATTTTCAGCCGCACGGCCAACATCTAAATAACGATCAGATGATGTCGCTGGTTATTCAGTTACAGGCTTTATACAGAAAATGCTTCACTAGCAGCAGTGACTTGCCAACCATCTATAAAAAAAACTAGCTGAAATGCAATCTATAATAACCCAAAAAGCATTACTGGTTCCGACCCTTACATGCATAGCTATGGTAAACAGATACTAGATAGACCAAATTAAGATCTAGAACATCACTTAATATAAACGTACATTCCATATACGGTACATATAGATATACAGACAGACTAAAATTTGATGGGGAGGTTAATCAATGGGTGGCCCAGATTTCGCCTAGTACAGTACTGTCAGCAATCGCGATCCAAGCTAAACTTGAGCCGAGCAGTTGCTTCGTATCCTAAAATCTCTGCGAACTAACAACGATCCTTAAGCAGGTTTATTAACAGTCTAATCTTACTAATCTGCTGATTTCTACATTTCCACGCATTAGTATTCTACTTATTTATCGGTGCAGAATGAAAATTCATAATATACACGTAGATTTGTATAGTCTCTTCTTTTCCTCACTTTATTTCCTCAGTGAATCTGAAGATACTTATTTACAGCATACATTCAATCCAGACAAGGTAAACTCTGCCTGATTGAACTTAATTTTGTTTCTATATTTATTCTCAGTTTTCTAGTAAGTTAAATGAAAATATTGGTTTTCAAGTTGTATTTTACGACGAAAGCATCTTCCATTCGGTCAATTTCTACTATTGGCCTCGCTAGCCCTGTAATCTCTCGTTTCATGAGAAAGTCTTCTTGTATATCTACTTTATTTACGATTTAATTCAGATATAGATTAACCTTACGCTAATTTATTAGTAATGAAAGGCTTGCTTAAAAGACTTAAAATTAAAATAAGCTTTAAAGGAAAAATATTGTAGTTGCTAGCATTAGTTAGAATGCCCAACAACACTATTACAAAAAATAGGCTCATTTTTGATTCCATTGCTTCTCTACTGAGAAGAATTTCAATGCATAAATAGAGGATAAGGGTTGACTATTTCTTATTTAATCTCTGATATAGGCAATATTCAAGTACCAGACCGAACTGAAAATAAGATATGGGGATAATTTGTGCATGCTGTAAGAGACAGGTAAATAATCGAATATTCCTGGCTGTTGCGTTGATAACTACAGCACTTGCAAAATTACTATCGCCGTGTCAAATAGTATGCCATGAGTCTATTATATCAACATTTTAACAAGACTACAACTGCGGTTATATGTATGAATTACACGATTAGCCACGACTATTGCTGATAGACCCCAGTGAAGATTTAGATTTTGATATACAAGCTGAGGTATATTATATTTCCATCGCTTATAGCATAGTACCAAATAAATGCAACAATTCATGATAAACAATTATTTAAGTTCTTCCGTTCAGATATTGATACATGTAAATTGAATACGTAAACGGTTATAGGATATAAAGAGGGGCACAAACTATTTTTCCTATAAAAACAGGATTGGTGCAGGTGGCTTTGGAGAAGTCTATCGAACTGAAACATTATCTTATGGCATTCTTGCCGTCAAAAGAATGAAAGAGCAATTAGTAAGCAATTTCTGCAAGTGGTATTGAAATAACTTACCTAGAAATTTTAATGTCTAATAATTTTAATTTATTTATGAAACGAATCAATTCTATTAATTAATATATTTTTAATGACTTTTTGACATCTTATTCTGCTATCTATTGGCGAATATGGTAAAGCTTACAGTAAATGATCTACTAGAATGTCAAAATATAATCCAGTAAGTCTCGACTACTCGTTTATTTGATTTTGTACAGTACCATTAGTTAATGTACTGTATATCTTAGTTCTAGTTTATAAAATAAAGACCACGATTACGTATTTAGACTAATTTATGATAGGAGTTTCCTTTAGAACTACATTTACAGTACACCTTATCATTTCATTAGGCACCTGTAAAAAAGAGTATGATTGTTTATGTAGGCTGAGTTGAGATAGCATTTTCTTTTAGAACTATACTTGCTGTATACTGTATACTTTAAATTGAATACATGGTTAAACGCTTGTATGATAATGCTTCTATATTTATTAAGATTCTACAGCACTAAGACATTTACTACTGGCTTCTAGATATAGACATACTAATCTCGTCTGCTTGTTTTCCGCCTTGATGGTTGACAACCACTTTTGCATGGTGATGGAATACGTAGCAAATGGCAGTTTAAGATCAAAATTGAAGGCAAAGGTAAATTGACGCTTTAATAGTAATTTAGAGGAATATTTCCAAATTACTCTAACCCTATTAATGGGAATATTACGATTGTTACTCAAAATCATGACCTTTTAATAAGATTGATGATGACACATAAATTATTTTATGTTAACCGTAACATAGTAATTACTTCTTCGATACTATAGTAGTAATTGTTCATAGCTTGAGTAGAATCAATTATAATTACTGCAATTTTACTGATTCCAGGATGAAAATTTAGACTATTCGGTTAGGCTACAAATTTGCAGAGGCATAGCAGAGGGAATCAATTATCTACATACAGCGTTCATGACATATCTTGTACACAGAGATATTAAATCTGATAATATATTGCTTACGGAAGACTATACTCCCAAAATATGCGATTTCGGCCTGGCAAAAATATTATCTGCAAGAATAGATCATGGAAATAGTGCTATATTTACTGAAACTATATGTGGGACTGAACCTTACTTACCTCCAGAATCATTTCAAGGAATAGTCTCACGGCGTTTTGATGTCTATAGCTATGGAGTTGTACGTATATTGACCTAATAGTCAACAATCTAATCTATAGAAGCTCGTAACTATCAGTTATTCTGTATCAAATATCTGGCAGGTGTTACTAGAAATTATATCAGGAAAACCAGCAACCTTTAGTGATCTGGAAGGGTGTCGCTTCTTGGTATGTCTGTATTCATGTACTGTACTAAAACTATAACATTGAATAATGTCTATGCAACGCGAATATGATACAACTAATGTTTTATACATTTAACTACAAATAATATGACACCCTTAAAGTAGAATCATTGATACAATCGGTGTTAGTTAGATTTCTACCATAAAATATAGTACTATTAACTAACTGCAGTGTAAAATCATTTTAATTATTGTTAGTAGCTACTTTATAGGAAGTAGTTTGATATTTTTAGCCTTATATAAGCCAAAATTGACTTAAGTAGAGATGCTCGAGTCTGGTATAAATTTTTATGAACATTGCACTTTATTCTAAAATGGCCTGTCCTCTATTATAAATAAATCTCAGAGCTTGAACATACTTTATTCAAAAAATATTGTTGCCTGAATTTAGCAAACAAATATTTCAATAATCTCTACGCAGGCTTAGCTAAAATAATAATTTGATCGAAGGGCTTAGGTATACATGATTCAGAAAATATTTTAGCTTAGATTTGACCAGTAACTGTTCTAATAATCCCTGTGTGGGCCCAGCTAATCTAGTTTTTATTCAAGGTTGCTGCCGTTCACGATTTGAAAATAACTATCAAATGAAGTTGTAAAACACTTATTGATCCTCTAATTTTTGCTTTTGATGAGTATTTTTGTTAATTTGTATAAATACGAAATTAAGGCAATAATTCCTACAGTACGATGGTATATAAAACTATAGTTGGTGTGCTTTCTTATCTATCAATTATACTGTTAGTCAAACTTTTCATAACTTGATAGACAATATAGAATAGTGCTAGAGCAATTCGCTGTAAGTATTGGTGAGTGATGAGCGCATTGTTTAGTAATATGAACTAAGACAAAATATTATTCGAAAGGGATTTCTTTAAACATTTTACAGCATGCTTTAGTCTTTACCGATGCCTTTTCATGGTCTACCTCCAAATTTTATCATATATTTGCTTCATCTTTGATAATATAATTAATTAGTTGTAAAATCTTTTTCATTGATTAAAATGATAGAAAAATCTGATCTATAAACTTTAGTTTTATAACAATAGTGAAAAATTCACTATTCTAATCCGCTTGTAATGCTGTCATTATTCAATGACCACTAGGCCAATTACTTTCTTCATTGTTACAATCATGATAAATCAACGTTTCCAATCGCTGAAACGGCTTCTTGGCCTAATAATATTAAAAAAAAACTAATGAAACTTGCAAAGAACTGTCTAAAGCGCAATTACAGAGACAGACCTCAAATGGATAAGGTCAGAAGCTATAGTAATCTTACGCTCGATTTTATCGTAAAGAATACTTTTATTATCTAATTTATTTTTATTTTAAGGTGACTACTAAACTTGCAAAGATCAATTTAATGCAAGATAATTCTCCTGACAGTAAACTGACAAGGTTCTTCTCGCGCATTTAAATTAGTAGTAGACTATAATATGAGCTGTCTCATAAATATATGTGGTATTTGCAATCTTTCGTACTGAATCATATATTTGAATACAGATTTTTGCGTTTAGCCCTACTATAGCGCATTCCTTACTGTTTCTTTTCACTGACTACAATTATTTGCTATTATCTAGATTATTCTGATATTCGTGCATTATAATTTAGAATTCTACTGTCTTAATCTCTTCACGTGTTCTTTTCCAATAGTATAATATCATAACGCTAACTTTTACTTCATGTCTTACTTATTATTGCGGTTATTGTAGTTACTAGCGCTACGTACGCGTAGTTATTACTATCTTTACTTATGACAGCTTACATGTCGAACTAAAAAACAATCTTCATTTTTAGATGATTTACAGTATGAATAAAAACCTCTTTCTTAAATAAAATGTCTTGTGTTGATCTCTTATGGCTATAAAATCCACTTCTACTAATTTTTTGGAGCTCTTATTACCTTTGCATACAAGGTCTCATTAATAAACTAATGCAAGACCTAAGCGTCGGCTAAAATATATTTAATGACATGACATGAAGTATTATCTGATTAATACATTGTATCCAAATTATTTTAAAAATCACAGCTGTTCGATTACAGTAATAAGATTAATATAACATGAAATTGTTTAGCTGAAGTTTGATGCTAGTAGAAATCTTTAATTATTGAAATAAAGCACCTTAATATTGGACCCGATAGATAGCCTAAGTCGGATGACCTAATAAAAATTGTACCCATAATGAATCGAGACAAGTCTTAATATAGTAAAAATGTCATTAAACTATCCTAATATGTTAAATATGGATAAGACTGATGATACATTATATACTGGTACCGCAGCTTACTAGTATTTATATAATGGATATAATTAAATGTTGGCATGTTAAATTAATACTAATCAATTATACCATGATTCAATTCCTAAATATAATATAATTTTGTATTTAATATATATCGGAATTGTGGAGGATGCAACCATAAAAGTCGTAACATCTAAATTAATGTATATAATCAGCTTTTACATATATACTAGCGGCATTCAATAAAGGTATCATTAGTAGCGTAAGAAGTATTACCCAAAAGTAGATATACCATTGAAAGAATTCTGTATTTTACTAAAATTTAACCTATTTTTTCAAGTCAGTATCAGATATTATAGCCTCAACTATTGAAATTGAATAGGTGTGATTATGGATACACTCCTAGAACGTTCATTTTCTCAGCAAAATGCCAATAACTACATGAAAGTATCTAATTTAAAAAAGTGGGAAATACTAACTGATACTGTATATCCATTAAGCGTGTTCTTGGCAAACCTACATCATGTATATGTTAGTTTATATAATTTAAATAGACTAAAGAGATTAAATTTTATTCAATACAAAATCTTAACACCGCCAAAACTTTAATATTGTGGGAGAGAAATACAGACTCAGAGCAATAGTATTCCAAATGTTTTAATATAGTTCAATGAATCCATATAACCTAATCTTACTTTTAGCCAATTACATAGTTTAGGCAATTTATCAGTATTCGTATAGCAAAAATCCAATTTTACAAGCTTGATTATTTAATAATCACTTTATTTTGTACTGTAATTACTGCATTTGAAATCGCTTTTTTAATAACTAAAATCGTTCATTAGGAAAAAATCATTAGTGCATAGGATAAAAACAAACGATTTCGAATATTGGGACTACTTCATTTATTTATAACTTCGAATTTACTAGATATTAAATTTTGTAACTACTTTTACAGCAAATCTATGGATCTAGCTTACTATCTACGCATAATCTTTACTTATCGCCACTTTTTATTATTGCATATTGAAATGAGATATAACAATTCAGTACTACTTATCCATCTTATTCAATAACTGCTGACAACATTCATATACCTAAAATCCAAATGTAAATATTCACTTTAAAATCAAATGTAATAACTTCATCTAGTTCTAATTTGGTCTTACTTTTTGGATACTAGGTCGATCTTGAGCAGTTTCATTAAGACAATCGGAAGCTAAATTTAAGAGTTTTTTCCTTGGACGATAAGTATATAATACACTAATTTGTTTCTTCCATGATATTCTTTTATCTTTAAGGTATTTCCAGTTCTTATAAGGAGTATTTAACAAGTACTCTTTCTGTTAATGAAAATAGATAACTCACTAAAATGATTTAAACTAGCCATATGTACAACATCTAAAAACATTTTCAATTTTTGCAAGACTATAGATATTAGCACAGCTAACCAGCATAGATGGTCTCCTGTCTCTTGTATAAATCGATTTTCCGGAAACTACAACTAGGCAAATCTAACTCCAATAGCAAGCGAAAAATATCATTAAATCTTTATGTGTAGTTCAATCCAGCTTTAAGTATGGCTTAATTATTTTTGCTTACCGCCCCAAAGCTAAATATATCATTAGAGAAAGTAACTGTTCCAGCTAGAGCTTCTTCGCAACAGTAGCCCATCTTATCAATTTGGCAAGGTAAAGTTAACTGCGACTGCCTGATAATATTGCGATATATGCATCCGTCCGATAACTTTGCCACTCCTCTTTCATCTATCAAAACATTTGCACTGATAAAAATGAACATTTTTAATTCTTACATTGGTAAATACAAACATTCATGCATAGCAATTGCCAGTAAATTATTTGAATTACCACTTTAAATTATTGTGAACTAATTTACATTCGTGTAAATGGTGTAAGCCTTTTGCTATATCACGTAATATGGACAATCGCTCCTTACACTTTGGTAAATAAGTACTCTAAGATAATTTAAAATTTCTTTAGCAGCTTTGAAAACGTCGATAGATAGGAGAAATTAGCTATTTAGTAAGAATTATACGAAACTGTTGCTGCTAATTTCGTCTCTAGCGAATGAGGCAAAAATTCCTGTAGTAAGCCTCCAAGCAGTGGATAGTAAGCATAGACATTTCTGATATTTCCATGCTTTAGTCTATTAGTACAAATAAAGCTTCAATGATCATGCTAATAAAATTACCTATGGAATCCTTATTAAGCATTAAAATACCAGTAGAATTATAATAAACCTACAGCGGTAATAAGATCAGTTTTTGCAGTACTCTTTTATAAAGTCTATACGTATAACTAGAGCTTACCGTAGTAAATCATTGATTATATTTATGTTTTCATCAAGATAATTTCGCACGACCTAAGAAAAATTCAAAGAGGTATCACATAACTATACAAATTAAAAGCTGGCTTCCAAGTGCTATAATTCACTACCACTATGAAATTTGGAGCCATATCCTGAATCAGATGCTATTAAAAGTTTTGTGTTAGATTTCAAGCTTACTATAAGAAATATTCACAGCTTTAAAAGTATGTCACGTAGCATGACCAATAATTATAATAGATAGTAAGGAAATTAAAGATCATATCCTATTCGAATATGGCTTAGCTAGCTACTGACTGCAATACTGGAGAGATTAAAAAAATGCTACTACAGTATACCGCATTCAACATAGCTACGATAGGCAATAAACTGTCCATTTAGGTATAAAATCTGTGTTACGTGAGAGCAAATGAAATCTAAGATTACAAATATGATTCGATTCTCGGCGTAATTCGATTACTATTGAGCAAAAGCAAAACAGGCTATCTAAGAATTTGTCATTAATTAGCAAATTCCTGAAATTTGGTTATAAATGTGTTTATATTTAATTCATGATGAAAAACTGTGTTGATATTTAGCAGAATTAATCCCTGTAATAATCGTGATACTAATCGGGAAAAAGAACGATGTTAAATTATAACTTCTCCTGATGAATTAGATGCTATTGAACAAGAATTGGATTTCTTGTAATCGAAAGTAAAGATTTATCTTGTTTCAAGAAATTATGCACCTCACTATTCCATTTCTTAAAAGCATATAACTTTCTATCCGAAACGATTTCATAAGTAGTACTAAATGGGCCTGACCAACCTTGATTTTCTCTCATAAATTGTCGAATAACCTTAATTGATATGCATAATTGAATAGTTAAAAGTTGATCATATTATAGTAGATCTAAAATTTATGAAATTATTCACGCGTAGGCTAACTTAATTTTGAATACGGAAGTAAAAACTTACAGAAATTGGTACGGGATTCATGATGTTGCCACTATCGTCGTCGATATATGAGTTAACAGAGAAATTTGAAGTAGCTGGATCAATATAGACTACACTAGGTTTAAAGTTCGAGCAGAGCAATCGCCAACAGGACTACAAGATTGCAAAATATTATCAATGAAATCGAAATAGGGAATTATTACAGTTAAAAATGTCGTCATAAGCATATACAGACATAATTTGAAAGTACAGACCTAAAGTATTTTTTCTAATTTTCAATAGTATTTGTTGACTAGGAATCTATTTTAAAATCAATACTAACTTAACTAATTCGTTCACTTTGTCAATTTACTTACACAACAGCAAGTATTATCTTCATCTTGATTACTAATAAAGTAATTCTCTTCCATGTCCTCCTTCGGTACTTTGTTGAAAAATGATCATAGGCAATACTGGAGTTAATAAATACTAAATAAACACTAATCAAGTCATATGATTAATCCCAAAGTAACATCAATATCATGTATCAAGAAGAATAATAACAGATCTCGTGATTAAATTAAATAATTATCTGATTTTAATACATTCAACACGTCATGTCAACTAGCTAATTGTAGCAATAAATTAATACTGAGTGGAAATAAATGTAATTCCGCGATGGGAGAGATGAGACTGCATAATGAGTGAAGTCGTCGAGTTTCTTCAGTCGATGCGTTCTTATTAGAGCAAATCAGTTCATATATTACAAAAAATCGGTGAAATGTTGTAGCTGCTTGTAATTTATGTTCGTGATAGTATTTAGTTATAAATAATTACTGTACAGTACATTCATGAACGCTTAAATACATAGATAGTAGATGTAGTCACGGTATTGGCTATCAGTTTAGCGATCAAGATTGCTCTCAATTGAAAGTAAACTATTTTTCTAGTTTAGAGAGAATGAAACCGTTATGCAGCATAGAGAATTATATCTGCCTTCAAGTAGAATAAATGCTCTATTTGATCAAACTTTCAGATATACTCTCTGACTGTATTAGCTACACTGATAGCACTTATAAATCGATCCATGTAAATTATCTTTACTTTAATGAAATTTGGGAAAATTTAGTTAGAAATAGAGTTATCAATTTAAAAAGGGGATTATAAAAGCTAAAGGACATGTTCAGAAATTACAGAAATGATTTATAGCGAGAAGAAATGTTCGTAGAAAATCTGCGATCTTCTCGCTTAAATGGTAAAAATCATCACGATCTGAAAACGTAAAATTCCCAAAAATGACCGAAGTAATTCACGTTATTTTACATTATAAAAAAAAATCAGAAATCTGATAAACCCCTTTATATTTTTGTATGACAATCATAAGAAGTGTATAACGCAATAAATCTAGAAAATAGAATGAGGAAATCATTTATTGGCTTATAGTACAAGAATAGTAAAAAGTTGGCAAGTCTTGAATTTTAATCTTAAAATTAGATAGAAAAGTTAGACAACAGTATAATAAGAAGATGCGAACAATGTTCTAACATCTTAAAGAGAAATTAGCAATCAAATAACGCATCAAAATAACAGCCAATAAAAAAATCTTCACAATCAAGATTAAATGTTGAATAAGCCAAGAAATAAGGAACACTCATGGTAGTTATGGCTCTTTAAATTATTCAATTTCATAATTGCAACCTTCCGTTAGCGACATATTTATTCTGTTTCTTGACAGTCGCTAAGCTTTGATCGATTATAATGACTTCATAAGTTCTCTTTTCTATATCAATATTTCAAAACCTGAAACATAGCTCAAGCTAAACTTCAGCATCTTTAATCTTGTCTGCGATATATAGCTTGAACCATGGTATATTGAAATGTAGTCAGTTTAAATCTAGTGCAAAGAATATTGTAAACTGTTTTGATTCTTTGTAAACCAAGTGTAGAAGATTTAAGCTTTCTATAAATTAATCATAAGGCTTGCTTATGCAAATTTGAAACTGTATTTACTATTATAGGATGAAGATAAACTGCAATTTCTTGATATTCCAGCCAATAAACTCCATTTTACTTCTATCCTAATCATTCATAAATCTATCTTCTATTATATCAGTTTGTAATGATTGAAATTTTATTCCTTAAGAATTATAGCAGAGATGGAGCTAGCCCAACTTGATACAGCATGTAAGTGAATTCTATTCCAACAAGATAATCAGATTCAGATATTTTATAAATGGTTCGATCAAAATTATGTATTCCTATGTGATATACATACGCATTATTGGAATAAGCTTAAATTTAAATAAAATTCTATTTGGTGCATTTTATCAAGTATCAAAATAAGTTTTTGTTAGATCGATGACTCAATTAAAAGGATAATATCTTTGAGCACGATGATTTAAAGATTTATGTATTAGCTTAGTAGTTAATTTCTGAGGTGAAGCACAATAATATACGGTATCCACTATAGATTTTGTGTATTATTTTAAACATTTAAAAAATAATTATGCATTGAACATTAATAAGTTAGCAAAAGGTAACAAATTTTAGCAACTAATTCAGTTGTGGTGATATTGTATACCTTTTTTGCAGTGAATTGAACATACTCTTTACCATTACAGTAATAAAGTAAATTACAAACTTAAATTTAAGCTTTGCCTTGGATATCTATTAATAGAAGAAAAATATTTTGTAAAAGGTAGTCAATACTAAGCGTGCAACAACGATTGATAAAAGTTGGAGGTTAAGATTTGTTATGGCCATCTTTCATATAAGTCGATACAAGTTCGCTGTACCTGTCAATATAAAAAGTTTATGGACAGCATTTGAAAACTTGATCAATGTAATCTTTGATACCCTTATTCGTACGTCTTGCCTACCTCAAAATTAGGTGGTCTCTCTTGTGTTGTTTCTGCTAGACACCAAGCAGCTAAATTCAAAAGTTTCTTTCTTGGGCGGTAGATATCTATCTTGGTAATTGCAACTTTCCAGGAAATTCGCTTATCTTTCAACTTTTTCCAGTTTTTATGAGATGCATGCATTAAATAGTCTCTCTAATAAAGATATCATAAAACAAATTAGATCATTTTCTGTATCAGTCTTTCAAAGAAACTGATTAATTATTATAGTTTAGGGAAGAAATCTCAACTAATGCCCGATAATGTGAAAGTATTTACTAGCATAGATGGCCTTCTTTTCTTAACAAAAATCGGTTCACCAGATACCAATTCTAAGCAGATCTAAATACATATAATTAGATACCTATATTAGCAAAGTGTCTATTTGCTGTATGCTATACCAAATGCATTACTTACAGCCCCGAAACTATAAATGTCGTTTGCAGGAATTACTTTACCACAAAGAGCTTCATTACAGCAATAGCCAATCTTGCCTACATGAGATGGTAAGGTACTTTGCGCGTGGACACTTCCAGTGAAATCTAAACATCCATCACTTATTTTGGCAGATCCATTATTATCTATCAAGACATTGGTACTGGTAGATAGAAAAATGTATTATAGATTGCTATTAAAACAGTCTAGCTTTAGTTAATTGCAGTGCAAGAGATGTAGTATCACTTTAAAATTACCTTGTTAAGCAATTGTGAACTACGTTGCTATCGCGCAAGTAGCAAAGTCCGTTGATAACATCTTTAAGTATTGAAAGACGTTCCTTACATTGAGGCAGTTTATCTCCCTATTTTTTTAAAGATATACCGTAAAAATTCAGGCATATAATTTCATTGAGTGCCTTGATTTTGCTTTGTAAGGATTAAAATTACTATGGTTATCAGAATGTAATCCAAAGTTTAGTAAATACTGAACTTTTAGTGTCATTAGCTGCCGAAGTGAATAAGGTAGATATTCTTGTAATAGACCTCCAAGGTGAACATGGTAAGAATATGTAATTCGTAAGCTTTCATGATTTAGCCTATGGAAAAAGATTGATACAGAAAGATGAGGAGTGTAAGCAATGTTACTAAAACTGGTGCCTTGATATCGTCCAATTTCAATTGCATTTACTCCTATTGTATATTCTTATTCTTTTTTTAAGATATTAAACAGGGGAATACTTTGATGGCTTGCATTATCATGCTCTAAAATATTAACTAATTCTATTACAAATTTATCATCTACCTAAAATTTTATCAAAATGTGAACGGAAATGCCTTAATAGATATTAACATGGCAGATACTTTTCATCATGCAGAAATGCTTCTACTCTAGCAGTATTCTTGCAGTCTACCCGAGATATCACACATTTCGATAGAATTATGAATTAAAATTTCCTAATCTATATTAACATGATTACAATATACTTTGTCGTGTGTAAGTACTTTTACTCCACTTTCATTATGTAATACAGTTTTATTTACTTTATAATATACTAGTAAACTGGTTAATTAAAGCACCCTCAATATCGAAAAGATTCTGGAATGAATGTCCTAAACTGGATTTATTTAATTAGTTTTCAAATAATCGAGTAGAATTTTATTTAATCCCATAGAGCAGCTATAACTGGATAAAATGTTTATCGAAAGTATCATGGAAATGAACTTTCTTAATTTATATTAGTCTGATTAGCTTTCTCATTTTCGACTACTTCCTGTTCTTAAAGCTTACTGTAGTATCATATTTACCTATAGTTAGCGTCAGTATCTATAGATATATGCAATAAACTTCTTTAGTTAATGCTAAGTACTTATATAATTATAATAAAGAGTTTTATTCGCTCCTATGGCAAACTTATATTTTAACCTATACTTAATGTACGACCAGAAATCGAATCATTTTGCAATCGTATCTACTCTTGCAAGATAGTTATCTTGTAAATAACATCTCATCAATATCTGATGGTATTATTGAAAGAACTTACCTGAGTAATTGCTCTATCAATTGATCTTTATCCGATAAATAACTGCTCATCTAATTTTGGACGACAAAAAATCAGAAATTCCGTTAAATTTTTTTTATTCCTATTTCAGCAAAAAATAAAGTACTAATAATGTCAGCTTTAGCTCTATCCCCGATAGGTTTAACTATTCTAGATTAACTAGGTTACACATCCAAAAATTGAAAGATCTATGCTGAATAGAGAACAATAACTAGGTTTCGGAACAATTCGATCAATAAACTCTTGTAACACTGTAGTAATTCTATTTGCTAATAGCTGTGGAGTTTAAGAATGAATACCAAAGAATCGAAACCTTTTGGCGATAATGTAAGTGATAATAACGGAGTGTGGATTAAAGGACATTGTTTTGGTCGTGCTACAGTACTAAAAATTACTCTTGCTACTGCCTACAGTTGTTTTGAAGGCAAAACCTTGCTCTGATAGGCATGTTTAATGACGATTACTATACTTATAGGCATAATAATCGCCATTTAATAAAATCTATCAAAGCCATCTTGGGTTACATCCAATCTAATGGAAATAGTTTTCTATAACGATGAATTACCGTACATAAAGATGCAGCAATGCAAAGGAATATCACTATTTACGTCAATGTTGATAAATTTGGTAAAAGAAAGACAAAAACGCAAAAATTTCACCATTATGTTAAGAATTAGATGCTGCCATCAGTACTGTGTATCTAAGCACTTGAAAAAGGAAGTAAAATTTATAGTATCGTTCAAGACATTCCTTTAGTTTTTACTGTTCTAATGTGTCGTTGTATCAGAGGAATGAAAGTTTACTGCTCTAACCATTTTAATATTGCGATACTGTAGTCGTATTGCCTAAAGTTTGTCTTAAAGGCAAGACCCTGCACTGATCGGCAACTTCAGTGACGATTATTATGCTTATAAACCGAATTAATATCATTTAAAACCTATCAAAATCGTCTTGGCTTAAATACAATTTAACAGAAACACAGTAGTTATTCATAACGATGAATTAGTTTATACAAAGATGTGCCGATGGAATGGAGTATTACACTATTTACATCAATGTTGATAATTATGGTAAGAGAAAGACAAAAAAAACGTAATAAATATATGATTACTATAAAGGAATTAGTTGCCATTATTAATGCTGTCAACTAAGTACTTAATAAAGGAAGGGAAATTTATGGAATCGTTCAAGGCGCTCCTTTAGTTATTAGTTTTCTAATGTGTCATTCTATTAGCAGAATGATAGTTTACTGCTCTAACCTTTCTACTATTGTCTTTGAACTTATAAGCAGAACATGTACTTCTAATTGGAAAATATTAGATGAGAAAAGTGGTTACAGTAAGAGATTCGTTATAAGTGGACAGAGTCAATTTCATTGCTCTAAAAGATCCAATATTTCTCTTAATTTATAAACTGAATATGCAGTTTTAATTGGCAAATATTAGAAGAGAAAAATGGCCATATCGACAAATAGAAAGTTCAGTTTCTTGCTGTTCAGAAAACAGTGTTGGTCTAGACAATATTACGGTTATATCACATAGTTTGTTCAATTCATTGATGAAGTATTTGCTAATCAACGATTAAAGAATGGAATTGATTAGTAAACCGATCACAATGTTCATTAGTTGGATAATGGAGAGAATTTAAATTGCCTTGGATTAAAAACTGATAGTAAACTGCGTGACGAATGAAAATGGTTAATATCGTTTATGGAAAAATTAAAATAGTGGAAGTGTGGGATAGACGTCGTCGAGCATCATCCTCTTTTATGTGTAATAAAGTGTTTTCCAAAAAATAAAACAAGAATCAGTTTCCTGTAAACCTTACTTTATTGCATCGATTAAGTTCGTCTTTCAAATACCAAGGACTATCTATTTTCCGTCCATCATTTTAATATTAAGCTAATTTGGGGCTGAATGACGATACGAAATGCCTATTTTATTGGTTTGATCAGGGTAAAAACATGTAGATGTTGTACCTTGTTTTAAGTCTACAGTATAGTACATCACCAATTTGAATATCTTTAACGTAAATACGTTGTTTAAGATAGGTAAAATGTGAGCAAATAATTGTGTTCGAACCCCTTATTCCCAAGTTAAAATGATCTACGAGCAACTTTAGATGGGGTTGACTGACTTGGGTTAGAAACAAAAATTGTTTTGATACAGACCATGATATATCATTATGAATTTAAGAATTCGTTTAAATTATTATAACTGGCGTATAGTTTCAAGTGCTAGTATAGCAATTGAGAATAGAATATCTTAATAGAAACATTCATTAAATGATCTACAACAGAATTTACCTCTGGTTTCCATTTTTTAAACGCTGAAACTTTACCATCGATAGTAATTCTATACGTAGTGCTAAAGAAGCCCGGTAGCGCCAACGCTTTCTTAATGGCTGATTGAATCGCCTAAATCAGAATGCGAACTATATTGAGTGCACCGAAACTCAAATTGATTCTATCCATTTCTAATAGCATTATTGATTGTGTAAAACTCAATACCCGTATAGTCATCTCTCAAGGAACTTACAGAGTCCGATGGAGGAGCTTGATCATCGTTATCCCCGATTGGTGAATAATCATTTGCTTTAGGTACATCAGCATAGATGACACTAGCTCGAAAGAGTCTTGAAAAGCAATTCAACCAAGGGCAACAACCACCCTAATACCGTATCCATAACCGAATAAAATGATGTCAAAGCCAAAATTAGTATTTTACCTTATTCATAGTGGCTGCAACTATCACTTATCCGTATTTCAACAAGCGTTTTAAATGCAGTAGCAATCATCTATTTTAGCCTATTCTATCATCAGTGATGGAACGAGACGTTGGGCATTAATCTACAGTATTTCAAGTTTTTACAACTTACGTGACATGGCTCATCCTGATCTTCATATTGGATATTTCCTGTAGACCGTGGTTCCATGTTTTTAATCAATGGTATCAATCGGCATGAAATAAAGACATCTTGCCACGGAAGAGTGGCACAAAATTGGTCAAAACTAGGAGCAACAGTCTAGTGTCGTTGACAATTTTAAAAGTGTTTTGAAAATTAACTCTGGCATCACTTGACGGTAGTTTTCCATGTTAATATTATTAGATAAAGAAAACGAATGAATGGGCACCCTACTGTGACTTCCATCACGTGATATCGATCAGGCTGATAAGAAGAATGAATATAAATCGAAGGTATTGTCCTCCACGAGGGGAACAATAGCACTAGACAATAGGCGGAGAGGGCAGTAGGCAGGCCATCGTGAAAAAACTTTTATGCCGGTGTTTGCTATCTATAAGTTCACTTTAAAAAGCTTCATTTTGACACCAGGATTTCGAGATGAATTTCTAGGATGTCCAATATGGACTAGAATCTGTTTTCTTTATAGCTTCCTACCAGCTTATTAATCTCTAAAATGAACAAAACGATAACGATTAAAGATAAATTCGACTAAAACAGCGTCTCTTCGTCTCTATTGGAAGTGAATAGTATCATAAAATTTGGCGTAATATCTGATAGATTACTCTTTCCCTATCTCACAAGTTGATCTAATTCTGGCGTCATCATGTAACAGCTTGCAATATCGTATATTGAACTTGGTTACGATTTAAAAATGATCAACTAGGTTCTTTGAATCAAGTTCATCATAAGATTGTTTCTTACTTCTTAAATCTTGCAATAAAGTACTGTTTCTATTCCTACTCTGAAACAATCACTCAATAATTTGTCTCTCAATGCAGTGGATAAGAATAGTTTACGGGTTTTACTTCAAATACTTGTTCAATATCAAATTAGCACTTAGACCAAGTAAAACTATAAGTAGCAAGATCTTAAACTGAACTCTCTTCCTGAAAATGTCAGCGTTTAACATCTTTCATTTCAGACTATTAAAATGGTTATTTTAAGTAGTAATGTTGTAGTACTTCGTCAGCAAAGCGACGGGTTATAGGTGTACTTCTCATTATTTATACTTTACTCTTTTCCCATTTAAGTTGATCTAATTCTAGCGTCATCATGTTAACTGCTTACAATCTATATTGAACTTGGTTACGATGTAGAAATGATTAACATGGTTCTTCGATTCGAGTTTATCTTAAGATTGCTTCTTACTTCTAAAATCTTGCAATAAAGTACTTTTCCTATCCTGGCCTTAAACAGTTACTCAATAATATAATATGTCTCCAAATGTAGCATATAAAATTGTTTTCTTACTTCAAACATTTGTAAAATATTAATATAGTAAATTTAGACCATGTAAAACTACACATAGCTAGATCTTAGACTGAGCTCCCTTCCTAAAGGAGTCAGCCTTTTATATCCTTCATTTAGGACTATTAAAACTGCTACTTTAAGTAACAATATTGTGACTCATGCTCCGTCAGTAAAGCGACGTGGTGCAGGATTAGTTCTCATTCTAGCCTGCAGTTATCTTCTCTAAATTATCCACTAACAGCACTCGATAATCCTATAGTCTTGTACTTTATTACACCCGCCTAAATGTGATTTGTATGACAGCTAGCCAATTCAGGTCTAGCGCTGCCATCTCACTTGTAATTATCGAGATCACACCATAGAATCTATATTCCTACAAATTGATGATCACGATTTATCGGCATGTCGTTTTCTACTAAAAAAATGAAATGTGCAAAGTTTATTCGGTCAACTTAATCGGTCATCCACTTTTGTTTTGACCATGTCTATTCCTCATATAAAATCAAACGAAATGGCTGTTGTTCTCTTTTACAATCTAGCAATGGTCAGCAAGGTTTTTTCGATTCTAATCCACCTTAAGATAGATTCTTGTTACTTACCGTACATCTCCGTTGTTGTAGTTTCTTCAAAAATAAAATGATCATGGTCTAGTTGGTAATGAATTTATATGTTTTGACGTAGTGTACATCTCGCCAAAAAAATTACAGTTCTCGTCTACAAACTAGAATTGATCAATAAGGTACTTTAATTCTCCTCTTTCCATCAATAAAAACATGTCGAGGAACTGAAACAAAGCCTTACTGGTATTATATTACATACGGTAATATGATGGATTCCTTACTTATGATCAATCGAGATTTAGCGGCGTTCTTCAAAAAGATTTCATTGTAGTTGATACAGCTAGCCGAAATTATGGTTTAGCAAATCATTTTTTTGTTCTGGATAATACTGTAAGAAACTATGTAGGAATAATCATCTCCTAACGGTAAAACAACGAAGCTTTATTCCATGTCTATTCTTCTACAGTAAGAGAATTGATCATGTTAATATTGTAAGCATGAATTAGCTAAGCCGTAACGGTAAACCCGTCAAGATCTGTTGTCTACTTCTTTTAACATGAATTATTGTAGTCATTGTAGAATGCAGCTACTCCACTTAGCAGGGAATCTTCTTAAGGTCTGAATGGAACAATTGTAGACTAATGCTTACTAATATCTTAACGTAATATTCAGTTACGACACTAATTTTATTCGCGCGGAAACTAGCTTGCAGCTCAAGAATAAAGGTACCTATTAGTGTGTTGCAGCCGATACGATAGTACATGCCTTTATGATCTGTTATAATTCTAAGGATACAATAAAAGATACCTTTAGTTAGAATTATTACTTACCCCATTTCAATCTAAGCAGTATAGAATATAATCGCTTAGCGGGGTATCCTCTTAACGTCTAAATGGAACAATTGTAGACCGATAATTATTATGCTATAGCGCAATAATCTATAACGACATTAATTTTTAAGCATGGAAGCTTGATTGCTGCTAAGAATCATGGTATCTATTGGTGTACTAAAGTCGATAAAATTTGAGTATATGATCTGCTATGATTCTACAGATACGATACAGGATGCCGTCAATTATAATTATTAGTTACCTCCAATTTCATTCTAAGCAGCAAAATAGGCGTTAATGGGAACAGGTAAAGTTAATGAACCAAAGTCGATCGGACATACTAATGTGGAAGTCACTAGTAATCAATCCTAACTCCGAAATTATCTGAGATTGATAGTTTTAAAAATAAAGACAAAAAATACGAACCTATTTCGCATGAATCCTTCATCAACTACAGTATAAGAAGGTACTACTAGGAATATCTGTCATTTTTCCTAACGCTTACCCAAAAATTATATTAGTTCATATAAAAAGGCATTTACGCTTTTTGCATCAAATTTTTTTAAAGCCTCCAGCTTTTTACAGATATGAAGAAAGCCGTAGTACTATTGGAATACTTAGTATTTCACAGAATGCCTCCAATTAATTCGTGATATCGGTAGTTTTTGCATTGAAATTGAGGTTTATACTAAATCTAAACCCTAATCATCGGTCTATAGGTGTTTAGCTAGTGATCTAAAATTTCGCATAAACTTTCAAAAAGTGCAAAAAAATACGATACTACTAGAGTTGGTGCTAGAAGATTTCTGCTTATATAGTCAGATGAATCTTGCAACAAAACAGAGAAGAACTGCTCGACATTCGTTAGAGATAACGAAAGAACACTTTGCTCTTCTAGTTTCATAATTATACTAGCATAAATCTGCAAATAATTTAGAAAACTATGGTAAAATAGTGTTGGAGACGGTAAAAGAACATTTGCTTTCACTGTAGCATATTTTATTTTAAAATTCAGTACATAAACAAACGATTGAAAAACACTCTTATAAGACAACATCGTAAAGTGAATGAGCCAAAACATGTCAATAAATGAAATTCCTTAGAGGTCTTCAATTATATATGTGTAGAATATTACTTTATATACTTTTATCCAACCTTAAAACAGTGTTCGTATCTCATAGATAGCCGATAAGCATAGGACTTTAATTACTTCATAAAAACCAAATTTTAACATGTTGAACAGTACTAACACTTTAGGCATAGTTTTATATGGTAGTCCATTGCCAAGGAAAATAAAAATTTTCGTAACTATTATTAAGATGATAGGAATGATGCGATCATAGAATTTCGATGTAAATAGGATTGTCAATTTGCAAGGTTATATTCATTTCGGTGATAGATAGCGTTGAATATGATTAGTTGAGGAGAAGAATAAACATCTTTTCCTTCAACTTCACAAATTGAATTTACTCTTATAACATTATTGAAAATGATCGATTAAAGCCAGTATCTCTTAACAAATGAATTATTCGTAAATTCATATGGATTTAGCAATTGTATCAGTTTCGATAATTTTTTATATAGGGAAAGCTTTAAGGTAACATATTCAGTTGCATATTAAATGAATACGCTCTGTGCAATTAAGTTAAACTCAATTTTTCTTTATGTTTAACTATGTCAAAGAGTTTTGCGCCTTATAATTTAATGTCTCCATTTTCTTTTTCAGGATGTTGTATAATTATATATGTCAGCAGGTAAATTTATCTGAAAGATTAACTGGTTTGTAGCTATAAAGATATTTAACGAATATTTTTTAAGAGTTTGCTAATACTTGAATTATTGCAATAACATCAAATTTCTTTCCATATCTATTTTAAGCTGATGAAAGTCTATTGTAACATTAAACGTTAAATTAACGCCCAAAACCGAAAATAATCACCAGGCTGTTGTATTGATCTAAAGAATAAATTCCTACCTTGATGAAGGTGAATCTTAGACAATAAATGGAGGTAGGAGTTGAGAATAGATTTCAAATTGCGCTTAGCAAAAAATTTTAGGATCAATATTATATCTATTTCTCATTGTAGAAGGATAAAAATGGCATTAAAAATTAAAGGATTGCGGCTGGCTTACGACTATCGAATTGTTTTAAAAGTATCAAGTGTAGTCTTTTTTTAACAGCCAATGCTGCAAGTAAAAATGACGTCTGTATCCCTTTGCTTAAAGAAATGGTTAGAATGGCTATCTTAAGACATTCACTACCATTGATTTAGCTGTATTGAACCAAATAATAGCCCCAATACTATCAAGATGTTACAGTTGTGGCCAATTTTTTACTCTTGTATCGATGAATTACTTCTTGAGATTCGCCGTAGTCGAATAAGCGATGCTAAATAGTTTACAATCTATGATGATGAAGAAATAAAGCAGTGAAATAGTTGCCGATGGAATTTGCAACCTAATGATAGTAAAGCTAATGTGATATGGCAGAAAAGCATTAAAAACTTGGCTTACGAAAACAATTTATAATTAATGTAATGGAGGGGAAAGAAAGAGTACAATATTGGCATGTGAGAATGATTTACTATTCTGATGTCACATTTTGAAAAAAAAGTGAAATTTTTGCCTATTAAAATATCTATAGCCAAATGTAATGTAGGAGAAGGTGGTAAACTATTTATTTACCAAATAATTAAATGCCCAATAAGATATAAAAAAAATAAAGTGCAAAATACTTGTCTGCAAAACAATTTAAAACCTAATATGACAGAAGAAAAATAGTCCAACTTTGGCCTAGGATTATTGATAGGTATAAAGTTATTAAAATTATAAGGTACTATGATGTATGCTTACAGAAGATATGTCCGGCCTTTTATATCGGTTATCTTCCAAGCAAACTTTCGCTAAGGCTAATAATTTCCATGCAAATTTTTGCGGCCATTTTGCTACTGGATCAAGAGGGAAACTCCATTTATCATAGGCATAGCAATACTGAAAGTATTGAGCCTGAAATTGATAAAAAGAAAATAGATTTTCTCATAGTTGAAATTACCTTAGGAGAGCTTAGTCTTGCAAAAGGATATTATTTAACTGACTTGAAGAATAATAAAAATGTTCAGTCAAACATTAGTGAATTCTTTATTCATTCATCGTTTTTATTTTAAATTGTAAAGTAGGATTAGTTGATAATTGCATCAATAGAACGATAGAAAGTGGTCTGCTTATTGAATGTCACGACTTGTCAATCATTAAGCATGCAGAAGTATAAATTTTACTCTTCTCGATATAAGGATAAGTCACGCAACAAACTACCTCAATATTCTTACTGATGCCATTAACTACGTCAACTATTTATATTCCATCTACTTCACGATTCTAAATGTATTTTTCTTTGCAAGTTATCCTTGATAACTTACTAAGTAACGGTGTTTACGATTGGTGGCACAATTGGCTTTGCCTGAAACAACTTCAAGTATCACCTAAAACAGATAGAAATATCCTCTTTAAGCGTTTCTATCAATTGAATAGCCATTAGAAATGACTTAACAGTTGAATGTTTGAAATTTGAACTGACCACACCAAAGCTGTAGATATCAAATCTTCTGGAAATAATACCAACCCGAGCTTCTGGCGGTGCATAACCTCGAGTACCTGCATTATCTTGAGCTATAGTTACACTCGTATTATTTTTTCCACCATATATTACTGTCACCAATCCAAAATCGCATATTTTTGGAACATAATTCTGATCGAGTAGGATATTCGCTGTTTTAATATCTCGATGAATTAAGGAGTAATGAAATCCAGTATGAAGGAAACGAATCCCTTTAGCGATTCCTGCGCAAATTTGTAATCTGACTATATAATTTAGATTGCAATCCTGTTTTAACAAACCAAAATTGAGCTTTGTCAATATCTAGAACCAATTTCATCCTCGACTTCATTACTTAACAAGAGAAGTTAGCAATTGCTGATATCACGTATAGTATGTAATCAAGTGAAATAATGAAAAGGCTTATTGGATTTTTTCCCTAAAAGTAAAATATTTTACATCAGCTACATCTGAACAATATAACCTTTTCTTTCAAGTTCGATTTTAAACTGCCATTGCTCACATACTGCATAATTAAGCAGTGGTGGCCTTTGACTTGCATAGATTGATATAATTTAACCAAGTTGGAGTGCTCGCATCTAATGTAAAATAGATCATGAATGAAAAGCGAAACAAACACTATGTTTGCATTTAAACTGACATACAATAAACACTGCCAAAGCAGAAACTGATTTATTTGAAGGAGAGTAAACTAATTCAATGTCACCGAAGTAATGATTGTCTTATCTTCCAAATGCTAATGTTACCGTATGTAAATAGTCGATTAGTCATAGACCAAAAATATTGCGTCAATCTAATAAAGATATTTATCAATTATAGATGAATAATCCGTCTTACTGCATAAGATATTGATTTTCTGTTCGAAATTCCTTGGAAACCTACTCATAAAAATCACGTTGAAAGTGCGAGCACAATAGTAAATTTGGTGTAGATCATTAATTTAATCCCACATAGTTTCGTCTTTAATCGTACTTATTCTATCAGCAAGTGATGGAGGCTATACTACTAAGCATTTTATTATTCAATTAAAACGAATGACTAGAATAAAAAATTTAAGAGAATCATAGTAAAACATAGGATTGAAGTTTATCCTTTCTACTTACGCCATCCTTAATTCGTTTGATAGCAACAACGCCATAGGACGGTAGTTTACCCTTATAAACCTCACCAAAACCACCACTTCCTATTTTATATTCTTCATTAAAATCGTGAGTCGCGGCAATTATATCCTAATAGAAGTGTGAGAGAAATAGCGACAATTGCTTGTTACTACAGTTTTAATCTATCGAGGTGTATTTAGAAAGGGATAATTTGATGAATCCAAATTATAGGACAGTTGGAAATGTTTAGTCTTGTAGTCGATTATTTAAAGTTGAGAATCAATTTTACCTTAGAACAGATCTTGACATACTGGCAATCATTATTAGCGTTGATCGGTAATGATTTTTGTTGTTGCTGTCGTGGTAAAAGGAATAGGATAGGTTAGACGATATAGATTACTCTGAGAAAAAATGGATTATAGCGTAAAAAATAGACAAATCGATTCTTTAACCTTACGGTTACACTTTTTAGAATAGAGACACCCCATTCTGCTGTAATATAGAACTTGTTAACTTATAAAAAATGTTCATTCATAATGACAGTCTTTTAGGATGACAAATAGATGAATGATGGGGTAAGTGATAATGTTCTCGTGGAGTAGTAGGTAGGAATAAAATTTGAACCTCTATGAATGTTTGCATAAAATTGGATTTCTTCGATGAAAGCGATAGCGTATCATTTTTTAACAGACTATTACTATCGATATTAGGTATCACGCCATCGGCAAATTTTACGCCGTCCAATTAGACAGATTTCATCAATTGGTCAACTGATCAATGAAACTCATCTAGCTTTGTGACGGGTGTGATATAAACTCATATCAGTACTATGGGTTTTTATAGCAAATTTATTCTCATGGAAAAGATTTTTTGATGATTAAAACCACACAATACTGCTGTTGATTAAATCAAATGAGGATGAATTGGATTGTTCTACAGCGAAATATTATTTACAATGTCTATTGTCGCCTAGAACTGCGTTTAGTCTATAAAATTATGGCTATTATAGCCATGATAATGATAATAGCCAAGAGAAACCGGATAATGTCCTAGACGTAAAGCGATTTTCGTCAACAATCATTCTTTTGTTTCTATAGTATCTACAATCTCAGAATAAGGTTCTATCAAACTCAGACAGCATGGGGTACAATCTTTTCTCATTCTGAAATGTTACAGTATATCATTATGGTTCAGATAGAAAAGCAGCTGATCATATCCTACGTAATATAAATTATTTTTTATGGTTTAATTTGTTTGGATTTATCGATCGATTTATCACCATAATTTGCATATGTATAGCAGCATCACTGCAGTAGATCTTGTCGTTATGAAAAACATTCACATTATGTTGGTTACTGTTGTCCTAGAAGGCATCAGAATTGGCAAAAGAAAAATAATTATTATTTCAATGATCTTGTTAATCATATTGGAGTCGATTATTATTCATGAAGAATATCTCAACTTTATTTTTTTATGTTGAATTCATATCGATATTATCCTAATACTATATTAGCTTGGTGTTGTCAAGACTGCGTACTAGCCTAGAGGGAAGATAACCTCTTTTCTACCGTTCCAGGAAATAATTCCTTCCGCAGGAATGTAATCGGCATATCTCTTGACTTAGCCGAAAGTGATCGTCATGATTTCTACATTTTAGCCTAAGTTTATAAAGTACCAAATATGCCCACGGACAGAGGATATATTTACTAGTCCGTGCTTTATCCTAGCTTTTTCCACTACAATGCTCAGTGTAGCGCATGGGTTCTTAGCTAACATATTACTACTGTAATTAGCTAAAATCGTCATCATTCGTTTAAATCCAGCTATAATATATTATAATATAGCTGTCTGCTTGAGTAAAATAAAAAAACTTGTCGCCAATTTTATCTATTATTGCCCACTACATTTCAATAGTGATTAGTATGATATTCTGCCAGTGCTTTTTACCCCTGCAAATAGTTGTAGAAAGCAAAGTTTTCTCCTACACTATTAACAATTTATAGCTATAGAAATGATGCCGTAATGTAAGATTAACTTCTAACTTTTTCGAGGTACTAACTATAACAAACAAAAATAGGGGATTTTCGATTCTACATCCGTTAGATTGTAGCGTGCAAATATTTCTAAAGTCTCACATAACTGGAGCGAGACTAATATGTAACATAAATCCGTGACAATATCCAACTTTGGGTAAGGAAATAGCTATTAAAATGATATAAGAATAGAAGATTGATTACTAACTCATCCGAGTTTCATTGTAATGATGTTTTTGTAAGCCTTTGTATAGATGTATCCAATATATTTGAGCTATATCAATGTCAAAACATAGTCAGTTCTAGCAAAGTGTAATTCTTCGGCTACGACCATTTTCTAAATTCTGATGTTGTTTATCATATTTGTTCCGTCTGATTTTTTCTCTATATCATTATATATCATTATTCCAGAATTTTGTAACTTATGCCTCTTTTGAAATTATATTGTCCGCGAAGAAAAAACTTGTACAACTTCTCAATCTGGATGGCATTCTTATCTTAGTATCAAAGTTTATAGATTTAGTAATTCCTAAAAATGGCCAATATCATCTACATTCACTTTACGTATTTACATTATTAAGGTCTTAAGGATACGATTGTTATAAATTTTTATTTATTCATGGCTAGATAAATCTGTAGATAATAGCACTAGCTTTATGTTGTACACCTGTCGCAATATACGTCAATTGCTGCGAAATAATTGAATAATCTTGTTCACTACTAGCGGTAGCATTAACAGTGCACGAAAAAACCTATTGCATTTTCCGGAGATATACTATACTAGACAGTTCTATATCAATTTTAAGGATCGAATAAAAATAATAAAGGCACTTGCCGGTATTGTAGAATTTTTGCTAGATTACAGTTTAATAACTCGATGAACATTATGTATTGAGTACGAATGTAGTGCCTCTTAATATCACAAGAAAATTGCAACGGCAATAAGGTATCAAAGTTAGTGTGAAGTGATGAGTTAGAGCAAAATCACAATTTAATTACAGTCAATGATTAAAAATATTTTTGTAGCAAAGTTGTTTTTCAATGAGAACATGAATGATGATAACGGCTGTAACATATTTTTCAATAATAGATCGATGTTTTAGATATATGAGGTAATTTAACGTTTATTTTATTGGATATTGTTGACCAAAAAATTAGTTATTATTCCAAATATTAATATGCATGATATTAATAGCCAGTTTTAAAGTGTCCATAGATAAGATTTATCAGCATAAATCGACTAATATTTTGTACGTTAAATTATTTCATAGTTCTGTTATTATTGTTAATATTAATTGGTGATGGTAACTATAAAGATTGATAAATTATGTGTAGATTAACTTTTACTGGGGATTATTAGCTTGATATGGTGCCTGAACTTTTGATTATTGGAGAAATTTACGATTTATTATTAATAATAATTAATGAGGATGATAGTCATTGCCTTAAATGAAATATCCAAGGATCAATTTTATTGTAAGAATATAATTGAACTGGTACTAGTGCACCGACTATTCAGCCATACGATCTGGCTATGAAATGATCATTAATATTCTCTTAATATCAATAAGAGATAATTATAGCTACAGTAGTAAAAATCGATAGTGAAGATTCCTTGAGGTCAATGCTTGTATCATATCATAATGTTCATAGCTTTGTTGATGCTCAACTATCGATACTGTTACGAATAATAGCTATAGTGTCGATAGAATAGGTATCTAACTTTATTGTTAATGTTTTTCGTTTATGGATATGGGTTGATAATTGAATTTAGATTACTGAAATCAATGCAAGGGCAGCTGTAGTTGATAGAGCGATCTTGCTGTAATTATTGATTGAAGTTTATTAATAATGAGATCCCTACTTAAACTAGTACTGGTCTGAACTGAGCTATTGTAGTTGACAGTAACAGCCACAGAAAATACGAAAGTAACCGGAGATTGATTTATTGATCAAAATCGAACCTTAACGCATGTCATCAATGTGCATATTTGATTATCGACAAAGATAACAGGTTCTCTCATAGCTATACACTATAAATACGTGTATGCAGGTATTTTAACAGTATCATTTCCAGTTTAGATCGAATGAAGTTGATTGCGAACCCTTTTGAGACTGAATAAAATTCGATGCTTATGATATCAAATAATGTTGCGTGACTGGCGAAGGAATCAGCTAGATTTAGAAGTGATGTTTCTCCATTACTATAATCATATAAATACTTTGTAAAATTCTTTTATTTGATCAAAATATCTGGCATTCAGTTTAAATAATTCTATAATCACGCATGGGCTACTGTTATGGAAATAGCTTAAATCTAATTTCAATAAATATCAATTTTAAATAGGACTTTATTCTATTAACCGAACTCATTGTTAAGATTCAATGAACTTAGGATTACCAAGCTGAGAGTGTACGTGACTTGTCAATAAAGCCTAAGATATATGCTAAGTTATGACTTTCTATCTAGTCAAAATAACGATCCTAGATAAATATTTTTTATTCCTGATGTATAGTAATAAGAATATTATGACCAGCATGATGGCAGCTTATTGATATTAGATTGAATGAAAATATTATTCGAATTGCGATCATCATGTCTATATGGAATAAAGGCACGAAAGCTGTTGATTGTAAGCTAATTTATGCAATGTTGGGTATATAATGGGTAATTAAATTTAAATTTACTTATTGCTAACATGCTCTCCTAATTAATGAACTTTAAAGTTAGTACACTGAATGGCGTTATCATTACGAAATAATATTTTGTAAATTGATCATCAGCAATGAGAATTCTTCTTGGCTTTATTATCAATTTTCTAGTATTAGCATAGATCTAAAAATGCTTTTCTCGACTTCTTTAAATGTGCTTGCGATGTTTATGAAAGTCTGTGATTAAATTATACGTATATGAAATAGCTATATCTTGTTTTCGTTATCTTTTATTTTAGATACAGCTTTAATCTTAACGATGTATTATTTGCAATAATTAACTTTGTAACGGACTCATAATAGTAGTAAGTGATTCTGAATTCATGAAAATGATACTGATTTTGATTTAATATTATTTTAAATACGAAATATCTTATAGCTTATTTTACTGGTAATACCCTTTAAAAATTGTTACAGTGTGTCGGTAGCTCGAGTCGAAAACCACGTACAATCAAAATAAAATGAATACTTGAGGGTGTATTATATAATAAAGCCTTGTACATAATTATTTGATAATTTCAAGATTCTAACATTATATTTTCATGCAAACCCAACAAATAGAAGAAAATAAATGGATCAAACAATCTTCACATTATCGTATACCTTGAAATTTAAGATCATTTCAACTATGTTCACCTTAAACATCAGAGAAATTGTAATGAAATTGTTATGTACTTTATGGCAATCTATAAGGCAATACTAGTCAATATTAAAACTTTCGGATATCGTGTACTTTGTTGAAA